TGACATACGGCCACCCGGACAGCCGGTCCACGTACACCAGGTACGTGTGTCCTCCAGCGGAGAAGTAGTCGGCCGAGACCGACTCGAAGACGCGCGTCGGTGCGCCGTCCTCCCGCCACATCGGCTCCCGGGCGTGGCTGGGCAGGCGCTGACGGCACTGAGCGCAGGCGGCGACAGTGTCAGCAATCTGCTTGTCGATGCCCGGCCAGTACACACTGAGCCGAGCACGGCGCTTGGTCCTATCAACGCCCTGATGTGACTCGTGGAGTTTCTCCAGCACACCGCGGCGGAGGGCGGACGGGATGACCAGTCGAGCGCCGTAGACCACCAGTCCGTCGTCGATGGCCAGCTGATGGCGCACGCCCCAGTACGCTCGTACTGCAGGGGGCGTCTCGTGCCGGTTCTCTGGGAATCCGGCCAGGATCAGCTCGCTGAGAGTCTGGTACTCGGTGTCGCGCTCCGCGGCGGCGCGGACTCTCTCCAGTGTGGAGTCGACCAGCGGAGCCAGCTGGGCGCCCTCCTCCGATCGAGCGGAGGCCTGCAGCGCGGCAATGACGCTGGCGTGCAGCGGGTCGTCCTCGGTGTCCACCGCTCCGTCGTCATCAGCGGCGGGGTCGCTGGTGGGCGCTCGCGAGAGCGCGTCTGGGATCACGTGACTCGATCCCTTCTGCCAGCTGGTGGTGAAGCTGTAGGCCAACAACTTCTCTCTCATCCGCTGCAGACGCGGGTTGTCGATCGAGTTGAGCTGCTTGTAGTTTAGGATGGTCACCAGCGGTCGGTGGTCGACCACCAGGTCGAAGTGGGGCATGCCAGCCAGGTAGACATGGCACTTCTTGCAGGCCCAGAGTACAGCAGCCAGCTCCAGCTCGATTACAGCATATCGGCTCTCGGTATCGGTCAGGAACCGTGAACCATACTGGACCACACGCCAGTCCTCTCCGTGCCTCTGGAGCAGTGCAAAACCCAGTCCTCGGGTTTTAGCAGCGTCCGTCTGTAGCACGGTCGGCAGCTGGGGGTCGAAGAATGCCATCACCGGCGGTGACGACAGCACAATCTTGGTGTGCAGAAACGCTGCCTCGTGCTGCTCAGTCCAGCGCCAGACCCGGCGCGACTTGAGGAGGTCTCTGAAGGCCTGAGTCGAGTCAGCCAGCTCCGGTGTGAGGCCGCTCAGCTGATTCACCAGACCCATGAAGGACCGCAGGTCGGTGACGTTCTCCGGTCTCGGGAAATCAGCGATGGCGCGCGCCTTTTCATTGTCGGTGGTGTAGCCGGCCGGGGTGATCTTGTAGCCGCAGAATTTGACCTCATTCTGGGCGAACTTGAACTTCAGCGGGTTCAGCGTGATTCCTCGGTCGTCACAGCGCCGGAGGATTTCGATCACCTGCTGCAGGTGCTGCCGGTACGTCTGTGCCACGGCCAGGATGTCGTCGACAATTTTGACACAGTTTGGGATGTCGCCGAGCGCTGCATCGCCGCGCCGGTTGTACTCGTCTCCAGACGCACTACATCCCATCGGACAGCGGACGAACTTGAACCTGCCCCACGGCGTGATGAAGCAGGTGAGGTCCTGACTTGACTCAGCGAGCGGCACCTGGAAGTAGCCCATCTTGGCGTCCAGAGTCGACATCCACCGGTGCCCGGCGGGCAGACTCGTCACGGCATCGTGAGGAGACCGGCAGGGGTACGTGGGTCGATTCACGTACCGGTTGAGTCCCGTCAGGTCCACGCAGAGTCGAAACCCGGACGGGTTCTTCGGCACGCACGAAATGGGATGGCACCATTCCGTCGGGTAGTCCACAGGGACGATGACGCCGCGGTCCAGCAGGTCGTCCAGCTGCGCCTTTACCTCGGCACGCCAGGCGAAGGGGATCGGTCGCGCAGCGGTGACCGACGTCGGACACGTGTCGGGCCGGAGTTCGATCGTCATCGGACCGCCGTCCATGACTCGAAGAGTCGAATCTTGCCCGAACACACGCGGGAAACACTCCACCAGAGCGGCTGCATGAGCTGCACGGACCGCCTCCGGTGGGTCTGAGTCGCTGTCCCAGGCCGGCAGCGGACCGCTGAGGCCGGCGGCCGGGTCGGGTCCATCGGCCGGCGGCGTCGGCGCGCCCGTCTCGGTCCCGGTGGCCGGACAGGGCCTGTCACGCGGCGCCTCATACGGGGCCGAGCGGCCGCTGGCGCTACGAGCGGAGCCGGCAGCGGCCGGCGGTGCAGACGGTGTGACGTCATTAGAGGGTGTGACGTCACCAGAGGCCGTGACGTCATCAGCAGGGCGCGGTGCGTCCTCGACGGACCGGATCTGTGCCGGAAAATCCCTCGGCAGAATCCCCAGCGCCACACAGTCGAACCAGCTGAGTAGCAGGCCAGTCAGCTCCCTGATGACGAACACGGCAGCGGTGGTCGATCGGTCGCCCAGCTCCAGAGTAGCCCGGAACGACCCGACACAGGTGAGCGGCTGTTTCCCTACTGCTGAAAATGGCTGGCCGATGCAGGGCTCCAACTGCGCTGGTTCCACGCAGATGGAAGACAGGCTGTCTTCGCCGATGACTGTCGCCTCGGCGCCGGAGTCGGCCCGGGCCGGCACGGTGAACACACCAGCCGGCGTAGACAGTCGGACAGTCACAGTGGGAGTCGGCCGCGTCGAGATGCCGTTCACGTAGACGTCTCTGATGACACGGCAGATGCGCGGCTCTGACGGCTGCCCCACCGCGGGCCGCGCGCGCTCCGGTGCTGCGCGCTCGGCGGGGGCAGCGGCGCTCTCGCGCGCCACCTGGGCGCACACCACCGCAAAGTGGCCGCGCTGGCCACACGAGTTGCAGATGGCGCTAGTAGCGCGGCACGCCGCCGGGTCTGCGTGGGCGGCCCGCCCGCAGCGGCAGCAGCGCGCGCCGGCCGCGCCCGCGGAGCGCCCGCCAGGTTGGGCCGCGGGGCGCGCCTGGGGGCGGCGCACGCCGGCCGTACCCGCGGAACGCCCGCCGGGTTGGGCCGCGGGGCGCGCATCGCGCGACCTTGAACGGCGGTATGCCGACAGACGGCTCACTGACGCCGTCGGTGAGCGGAGGTCGGAGCAGGTAGCCCGGGCGTTCTCTGACGCACGGCAGATGTCCACCGTCTTCTTGAGGTCCAGCCCCGGATCCTCCAACAGACGCTTCACCGTCTCCTCGTCCCGCAGGCCACACACAATCTTGTCACGCAGGCGTGAGTCGTAACAGTGTGTGCAAAAGTCGCAAAATGCCGCGAGCTCCTTCACTTCGCACAGAAACTCCTCAAAATTCTCGCCCTGCTCCTGGACACGGGCGTAGAACGCACGGCGGTCGACCAGGACACTGCGCTGCTTACGGAGATGACTCTCCATTGCGTCTACCACCGCGGAGAGGGGAGAGTCGTCCGCTATCGTCAGTCCATAGCGCAGCACCCGGTGCCAATCTTCGTCGAGAAGACTGAGAAGGGCAGCTCTCTGGGCAGTGACGGGCAGCGCGGACGCGCCGGTCAGAAGCATGTACCCGTCCAGCTTCTCCCTCCATACAGCGAAGTCGCGCAGGGATGTGGAGGACGACAGCTGAGGCGCCGGCGTTGCAGCAGCAGGCAGGCGCACGGGCGGGGCGGCAGCAGACGTCCGGGCGGCTGTCGCCGCCGAGGCATCGTCGGCAGCGACGGTAGCGGGTGGCTGTCGGTCGGCGACCAGTCGCTCCACCATCTGAGTGAGCCGCTCCTCGCGCTGCGCTGAGTCTCGCTCCCGCTGCGCCGACAGCTCCGCCTGCTGCAGGAGCAGCTGCGTCAGTTTCTCAATGTCACTCATCGTCACAGATCACGGCGCGCTATACACTAATCACTGATACACTGATACACCGATCACTGCGCGCACGCACGGAACCATCTACTGACCGCGCCATGTTAAGTTGTTGTTGATCGGTTCGAAATGGAAATGTAGAAACGGAAAAATGCGATTTATTGACTGCGAGACGTTAGGCCGAAAAGATACGCGAAAAAGTAAACAAGTATGGCGAGCGTCAGTTTTCGTCCCGTGCGCCACTCACGCCGCTTGGCGCGCACGGACAGCTGAGCGCCGGCAGGGGCGCTCCCAGGCACACAGAGGTGGGGCCGCAGAGGCGGTCCAAGTCTACACCCCCTATACCCGAACACAACAATGATAAGCGCACATTGTATGCGACTGTGGGACATAAAGGGATGTCTGATGACTATACATAGGGCGCTTATATGCCAAAGAGGGCGCCTATGAAGCTAATGGGGGCACCTGGGAAACGAGGAAGACATTTGTGTAAGGGTTTTCAGGGGTCATGCGCCGTTTGCGGCATATAGTTTCTAAAAAAAAATCGGAGGGGGAATAAGTTTTAAAAATGGTGCGGACTTTCCGCTCTGTTCGCTTAAGCGGTTACGCCCCTGGGTTCATCTGCCCGATCTCAGAAGCTAGATTTGGAGGTCATACCTACTTGAAAGCAGCCAGCAGGACGAGGCAAAAGTTGGAGGCCCCTGAAAATAGGAGGCCCCTGGAAAAGGAGGCCCCTTGACAGGGTGGCCCACCCACTTTTCATGACGTTCCTACGCCCGTGATTCACCCACCCCGTTTCCCTAAAAATAGACGGTCAGATTCGGCCTTTACGACCCCTCTAGATTCGCCAGAGACGGGATCAGATCGCCGTTATTGCACCCGTCGGCCGTCTTAGTGTCTTTAATACTATATGACAGCTTCGACCACGGACGTCGGACGGGGTGATCGTTCCACGAATGTACGCACCATCCAGGCCTAGGATGCATCGAGGTTTAAAAGATTGCAGTCTATAGATCAATCAACATAACAATGGTGGTATGCAACCACATTAAAATATCTCCCCGGCTCCCGCAACGTTCCAACGCCCCTCCGTTATGCATTCGCCTTGTGTGTCCGCCGAGCCGGCTTGCCTCCAATGACGTCATCGGCCGGCCGGCGGCGTTCAAGGTCAAACGGCTGGTGTCCTTACCTGGTATATAGGGCCTTGGTTTTATTCACGCTTGTTCTTTTGGCCGACCGCGTTGGGTTGCTGTGTTGGTTTTGGATTTATTTATTTTGCAGTTACTTTCAAAACAATAACATGGCATCGACTGTTGCCCGTAGAATTGCCCGACCCATTGTGCAGATGATTTCACGGCCCAGTTGTGTTCTTAAGAGCACGTCTGCTCAGACACACCTTCGTTGTCTTGGAGCCGCGCACAGGCCCATTCTCAGCCCTGCGAAACTGGAAATCATTCCATCGAGGTGCATGCAAAGCACAGGTAAGTGGTTCAATTTCCTGCATATTATTTTTGTGCACTTTTCGTGGGATCCCATATTTTGCCCCCGAATCCCATTAAAGGGACCCTCCGGCTTCCACCTTAACAAAAAAGTTAATGAATTGTCATGAAAGTGATGTCGCTCGGTTCAGAAAGAGCGAAAACGAATATCTACCAAATTTCATCGAAAAATATTCACCGGTTTTCAAGATATAAGACTTTTACTTTTGTTTACTTTTTGGGATCTCCGCTGTTCCTAGCGACTTTATTTGAAAGTGCGGCACTTGTTGTGCGCCAAGCGGCATATACCACCGGCCGGCACCGCGTGCTACCAAACGTTTGAGTAAAAGATTTAAAATCGTTTGATCTGCGCTGGCGTCACAAATTCTAAGGGGCATTCCAATGCATTAGCCCCTTAGAATCCGAAAACTGCAAGTTTGAAATTCCATATCTCTGAATTAAAGCATTTTTCGATGTTGTGAGTGCCCAAACTGGTATTTTCAGGCCATGGCCACCAATTTGGCTATCTCAACTCAAAACTAATGTTAAGGTGGGATGGTCACTTTAAACAAACATGCCACAAAATTGGGTAGGTATTGCTAAAGCTGGTATCACCGTCGATGCATCCAACCTAAACTAACCAGACCTAACCTTACCTACACCTAAAGCCTACCAACCTACAAACCTAAAACCTACCTGCTTCTAACCTACAACCTTGTCTACAACCTACTGCTACCAACCTAAAACTACAACCTAGAACCTCACTTGCAGTCCTGCCATTGGTGACACTAGCTTTAACTATACCCAAAATGGTAAGTTTTCTGTTATATCTGGTTTCAAAGGATAATTCAGTCAGTGGTCTTTCAGTATATCTAGCAAGTACCAACTACCAAGTACATGCTAAAATTTATCGTTAACTATATTTGTGAAAGATTGTAATATTTTAGCTTCTTCTAGCAACTTTAACTATGTAGGTAGCCATGTTCCCTCTGCTGGTGTGCTGTGACCCCTAGATCTAAATACTAGATCTAAATACCCTTGATGCTGCTGTCACATTAACACTCAATGAATGCCTCAATGGCTCTTTAGAGGATGCTAGTGAAGAGCTAGTTCAAATTGTAGGCATAACTATTAGAGTATTCTAGAAAATATAGTTAGTTACAGATGGGAATATTGATAACAAAAAGCTCCACTGTATTTTAACAATTTCTACCAGAATTGCTCCACAAATGTATAATAATAACACACAGAAAGAATCCCACAAGTGCTATCAAAGCATGAAAATAATAGGTGCTTCAAAAGTTGACACAAGTTAATTAACAAAAAAGTAAGTGAGGAATGCTAAACCCTATAATATGAGAGTAACCCTGATCCCTGATCAGTGATAGGTATCTCAGGTGAACAGTGCTTGGTTGTTGTTTCAAACTTTTGTTTTATTATGCATTGTCTGGTTAGATATATCAAATGACAAATCTTTCCACATTCACATGGCACCCTTCTACAGAAAATCAAACTGAAAATGCATCATATTGTATTCCACTACCATCTGCAATTGTTTGCTGTCTATATGTTACAGGTGACAAGGAGCTGCTAGATTTCCTTGCTGATGAGATTGTAGCAGAGACAAAGCAAGGCAAGATGGACAAGCTGCCATCAAGGATTGGTGACTTTGACATCAAGCTGGACCAGGCTGAAGTCACCCTTACAAGGAAGCATAACAATGAGACGTATGTTTGCCATCATCTACATCAGCTGTGCCTGGGCTCAGACATTTCTTTGATTGGATATGCCTGTAACCTACCATCCACGATTTCAATTATAAATTACATCCAAAATTATTTGTGCTTGCTTCCTATCCTGGAGACCAGAGTTCACTATTTTGATGACATTTGCTTTTTCAATTGGCTTACAAAAGTTTTTTTTTATTCATGAGAAATTATTTAAGGAACTTTGAATTGTATGTGACTGTCTAGCTCTAGTGTCTTGCCAACTTTCCCTCCATTGTTGTGCATTCACTAGGTACAATCTTAAGCATTATGTTTTTGCTCAAGCTATTTCCGTTATGACTTTGTACAACATAGGAGCATACAGCTCTAAGGAGAAAACATTTCAGATTGCGAATATAACCCCTAAAAACCTTGCTCTTTAATGACCCTTGATATCAGTCACGCTTAATAAAATGTATTTATGTTTTACATGGATGTATTTGAGTGTAACACGTTTGCCCCCACTCTGCTGGCAGTGTGACAGTGACGCTGAACGTGAACCACTCAGTCGACTCAGACCCCGAGGCCGAGGACCTCTCAGAGACCCAGGGCAGTGAGCAGCTGAAGGCGCGGCCCACCTTCAACGTGGACATCACCAAGGGCAACCGGACGGTCAGCTTCACGTGCTCGTACACCGAGGGCGGCGTGGTGGAGCAGCAGGGCGAGCAGTACAGTGAGTGCTGCAGACAGTGCTGGGGTAATGAATGTGTCGCACGAGGGATACGTGATCTGTCAAACTGTGGTAGGCTGATAGAAATTGGGCTGATGTAGGTGCTAGGTAGCGCTTGCATTTTTTTTTTTTAATACACGGCACATGAAAGCCGGTGTCGATTGTTGCATGTAATGGTGAAAATCGCCTAGCACTACAATGACCGTGCACGTTTAGCACCATTTTTCCGATGATGTGATCAAAATGTTTGATCATATTTGAAAACGGTTCTGCTAACGCCAATGCCGAAGCATCAAACCCTATTTTTGATCATAAATTCGAGTAATATAGGTTTGTGGGACTTTCAGAGCGTTCGGTAGCGGAGGGCGAGTACCAGTCACTTCCTTACGACGCAGTCACCCCCGGGAGCTGCGGATGGAGAAACAGGGGTCAGTGACCTTCCTGATGGCCGCTGCTCGCGTGAATAATTTATTTTTAAATATCGTGTATTTACTAAAGAATTTGATGCCGTGAATTATTTCGTAGCATATATTGACTGATCTCTGTAACGCACGGAAATATGTTATACAGACAAAACGCTGTGTCATAGGGTTATTCCAAGTTTCGGTACATTTACACTTATTCATCACATAAGACATTACAACTGATCATCTGGTCACCACAAATACAATGGAAGACAATGATGGTGATGATGGCTAAATTGCTGGTGAAGGTATCGCTAAAGAAATTATCGTTTAATGCATGCTATTACATTAAAAGTATACAACAAAAGAGAAGCACGGTACATGTTTTTGGGCTAGAAACGTAATTTGCAACACCCTGAATAAGTACGTCGGAAAAACAATGGTGCAATAATTTGACAATAATTCTTTATCCCTCGCCCTGGCAGGGCATTTTTCATAACACGGCCTGGCAGGGGGGGGGGTCGATGCGACCCCCCCCCCTCGCGATTGGCTCCTATGGCACCTAGAAACACCAAATTTGGTAGGTAGGTGGGCCTCCTGGAGTTCTCGCCCCTGTGCAAATTTGGTTGCTCTAGGTCAATATTTAGGGGGTTTTGGGGGGTAAAAATGTAAAAATTTCGCTAAAAACAGGTCAAAAGTTTTTCGCTTATAACTTTTAATCTAATTAAGATAGAGCAAAAAGAATAGCACCAGTGAACTCAGCACGTCAAGGCGCGTCGAATGATATACTTTTTAGCTTGCTTAAGTGTACTTAAAGTTTTTCTTAAATTTTAAGTAAACTTGAATTAATAAATTAAGTTCAAGTTAACCAAATTGCATCATATTGCATATCATTCGATTCGGCTGATCGCCAGGAACACAATGATACCATTTTTTAGGCTCTAGCGTCATTATGTGCCAAGTTATTGGCAAAAACGTTATTTGACCTCAGTTGACCTCATTTGACCTGACCCAACCATGGATAAGTACACCAAACAAAGAAGCACCAAGTGACCTGCTGTTAAGTACTGTGGTTTCAAAGCACAAAAGTGATAGAACGAAGCGGATATCTCCAGTATTTTCCGAATTTAGTATTTTCCCATAGGCTTAACATTACGACGTAATGACCTCTAACTGACCTCAGGTCAGTGACCTCAAAAAACCCGAACTATATGTTATACAACTCGGTGAACTTAGCACATCCTGAAAGTTTGAAGGAAATCAGTCCAAAACTGTGAGTTGGACAGGCGCAAAAAGAAAATTGAAATTTGACCATGACCTTGTACCGGTTTTTCTGACCTGGTGACCTGACCCAAGGTCATCCGGACCTGAAATTTTCAGGTCATATGTAAAAATGTTGCCCCATAGGCTGTGCCAAATTTGCCGGCGCTGCGCGCCGCCGTTTTACGCTATCTTCGAAAAACCTTAGGGGGGGGGGTCGCATCGACCCCCCCCCCCCTGCCAGGGCGAGGGTTATAACCTTATCACAACGTCAGATAGTTACATCAAATGGGCTGGCGACATTCAACAGCTAACTGATATTCAACTTCACATTGATTTGGGGTCATTACACTGGTAAGCCAAAAATTTTAAGTCTTTTTAGAGCCAAATGATTAGCACTCCGTATTAATAAATTTTTCTGTCGCGAGAAACTATGATACTAACGCTTAGATTGCACGGATGGTTTCTCAAAACTGCTCTAGAAAACCGGTAATAAAACTTGTACCTGCTTATAACAGGACCTCGATAAGCGATAGCTGTAAGCTGATCCGATTCGGTAGCAGCGAATCGGTAGGGATACGGTATCAAAATGAACTGGTTCGTAATGCCTTTCAGATGTTTATCCTCACCGATGGCATTTGTGTCATGATAGTTTAAATACTCACATTGACGTGTCTACTAGGCTCTGATTTTTTAACATTGGTAACTCTGAGCGGATAAATGCTGTTGAGCATGAATGAAATGGGCAACCATCTTTTTTCGTACTTCATAGTGAATTTCTCGTGATTCATGTATGGCGGAAAATACTGACGGTTGCTAAAGTGCGAATCCAATGCCCTTATTTTTTTCTTCTTGTGAACTGTTTGAGTATACCAAGTTTTTACGATAATAATGTATCGCATTTTTTTTATTATTAATTGGATTCGTATCGGATTCAAGACGTCAAAACATGTTTGTTTATGTAAGATTTCGAAAGGTTTCTTTACTTTTACTTGTACTTTACCTACCTAACCTACTATTGCTCTTTTCTCCGTCAGATGACACATTCTCCATCGATGAGGTGGTGATGTTCGAGGGAGAGCACCACGAGAAGAACTTCTCAGTCTCCGGAGAGATTCTCGATGGAGTGAGTAACATATTGTCATGTGTTCCACTTCCCATGTGTCTCATCATTACGTTTCTAGTACAACTGTTGTGAGTGTTATGAGTGTGTTTATGACACCGAGCATGGGATACTCTGGATGGGGAATGGTATCCCTATATTTTTTCATCTATCTTTTGCATTATATTGCCAAACAAGTTTGCTACGAGGATTGCTTTCCGCGCTCTCCAATCTGATTTGGAGACGGGATGGGAGGCATGCAGGAAATTCGTAAAAGCGTTATTTGGTGTGCGTCCAAGCAGCGCATGTTTCCAGTTTCTTGTTCACGGTTGCTTGGTGCTCGCGATATCCTTGTTCGCGATTCGTGCTGACTTGTTTTTGCCGTCGTCAGGTGCTCTACGACCTGCTGATGAACATGCTGGAGGAGCGTGGCGTCAGCAACGACTTCGCTGGCAAGCTCTCCGACTTCTGCACCGAGTACGAGCACAAGTGCTACATTGCCCTGCTCGAGGGCCTGCGCGGGTTCGTCAGCAAGTAGAAGTTCCACATGCGCTCGCTAGGTGTCGGCCGGCCGCGCCGGTGGTGGCGATACGCAGTTGCAACGTGCGATGCAACCACCGAGACTTTCAGTGTATCCATCTTGTCATGAGACGACCATTGTGTGAGGAGATTTTCGAGAACATATATACGTCCAGAATGTTCCTTTTTCTTTTCTTTTCACCAACTTGCTAGGCTGGGATTTGGATGCATCCAAGAACCAGGCGTGTCGAATTTCCAGCACAGCATTTTTGATGGGGGTACATTCCTGTCGATATGTAGGTCGTGTCGTAGGAAGGTACACTTATTGATTGACGTATTTTCAAGTTCATTCAGTCATTGGCATTTGGCAATGACATGGTTCAGGTATTCACTATTCAGGTCCAGGGTGAATCAATCGGCAGTGCCCGATAAACAAAGAGCGTTGCAGTGTAAAATATGTCCAATTCCGCTCATAAATCAGGCAGTCTTCCATAAGGCTAATAACATGGTTAATTAACTGCCTCTTTCGGTATAGCGAAGCGACACCTTTTTGGTGCCATGTCATGGAGACTTCGTGGGGAGTTTTCAGCGATGTCGCTGATTTCCTTTTTTGACATTCTCGTTTATTCGTTCATTTGTTGTTCAACGTAACTGGGGACTTGTAAGTTGTAACCCTAGCGTTGTAGCTCTGTACAGCTCGAGTTTTTTCATAATAAGAAACTCAATATTGATGTATAACAGTTCGGGAATTTTTGCCAATTTTGTCCTAATTTTGTCCAAATTTACAGCCATTATTGATGTATAAACAATGGATACTGGACGGTATAACAGTGATAACTGATACCACCATGGTACCTTGTACGCGTTTTTTTTTTTATTCTGGGAACCTGGGGAAGTTCATGCAAACTTAGTTGCAATCAGTCGTACAACAAAAACATCAATTATTCGACATAATGTATGCGTTTCGGGGCGGTCTCAAATAATGACGTCATTTATTTTCTGAGCTTATTGCGTCATATATTTTCTGCAAGTTATTAGCTTGGTGTAAACGGCCGACCTTGACGGGGCTCGCACGTGTGTTTCTCACTGAACTCGTTTCCGAATAAATTTTGTGTGTATAGTGGCTAGTGTGTTGATTTTTAATGCTTTTTGTTTGAGTTAAACTATAAGTAAGGTAACATACTTGCTGCCCAGCTCAAGGGGCTCAAGGCCCTTAATTGACTTATTTTTGGCTGGCTCAGGACCATTGTGATTGTTGAGCTTCTGGTGAGTGACATTAAATTTTACCTTTTCCAATGGTCTGACCCAAGGCCGTGAAGATGATCGTCTGACCCCTCGGGGGGGGCACGGGCTGACCCGGGGCCCTGGAGATACGCCCAGCGTCACGCGCGAGCACGTCGAGGAAGCCGGGCAGCTGTCAGCACAGCTGCCCGGCTGCGCCACGGGCCCCGCAGTTAGTAGTAGGTAGTGGCAAACTGGAAGAGGATACGCAAAACAAGTAACGCCTGGTGCACCCAAATGCATCATATTTAAATTTATCATATCATATCTAAATCATATTTTTATCATATTTTTATTCATTTGTGATACCAGACTCATCGTCTCTCCCATTTCAATTTGGAAGAACTCAGTGCGTGACAAAGAAAACAAATTTGTTCAACTTGCTTTTATCCAATCTCCTTACAGAAAGAAAGGAGATTGGATTTGATCTTCTCTGACAGAAAGAAAAGTTTTTGTTCAACTTGCTCTTATCCAATCTCCTTGTTATTTCTTAACGCAGTGATACAAATGGATTATACTATATACAGTCTGCACTTGTTAACATTGTTTTCAGATTTGTATCTATACTGGAAACAATCTCACCTTTCCTTTGCAGGTGATAGGTATTGTCCCAGTTTGTTGCTGCCATGGAGGGATCAATGGAAATAGATGAGAGCAGGCAGATTTTAGCCCAGTTCTGCTCAGAAACAGGTGAGGTGGCAGGAGCTCCATTTAACCTACCAGCCACAATCACCAAGGACAAACTGCAACTGGTCTGCAATGCTCTCCTGGAAAAGGTTTGTCAAAAAAGTATTCCATTTAGTTTTACTTGATGCTTGTTTCTCATTAGCTTCAATTTCTTAATAACCTTTTTATAACATTTCCTGGATATGTTTGGGGGAGGGGCAGTTGCAATGCATGCAGTACTTGATAACAGCCATGTGATCCAAATGTGGCTATGAGGTCACCGTGGCTATGAGATGACTTTTGATTTGTGTGTTTGGCCAGGAGGAGGAGCCGGTGCCCTACTCATTCTTTGTTGGCGACCTTGAAGTAACCTCCAGTCTTCAGGAGACACTAGAGCGACTGACAGTTGACTCAGAGAAGGTGCTCAACATCGTGTACCAGCCACAGGCAGTCTTCAGAGTAAAGGCAGTCACACGCTGCACAAGGTTCGTACTTCTGCTATTCATCTGTTCTAGTATCCTAGTTTATAAAGGGTGGTAGAAGAGTCAATTTGTCATGTGTTTGCAGAAAATTTGTGATGCAAACTGAGCTAAAGGAGTTTGGGGCATGTTACATTCAAGATGAATAAGTAAGCCGATACTTCTGACTGTTGATCAACCCTGACCTGCAGCGACAGGTCAGGGTTGATTGTTATTGGTTGATTGTCAGGGTTGTTAAGAATGACCGCAAAGCGACAGGCCAGTTGTGGTCCCATCTGACCTACTCTGACCCTCTGCGCGCGCCCCACCACAGCTCGATTCCGGGCCACGCCGAGGCGGTGATTGCGGCCCGGTTCTCGCCGGACGGACGGCAGCTGGCCAGCGGCTCCGGAGACAAGACGGTTCGCTTCTGGGACGTCTCCACAGAGACGCCGCAGCACACCTGTGCAGGTAAGGCAGATGTGGCGTGGAGCGCGAGGTGTGAATGGGCTGCTTTATGACTCCAGAATGACTCCAGAGATGCTCTTTTATGTGGGTAATTGGTTGCGGGTCGCCGCAAATCGCTCTTTTCAAAATTCACGATGTGGCGGATTTTATCGTCGGACGGGCGTAACTACCAGGTTTGGGTGCGCAGTGCGCACCGTGTTGAGCTTTTTTCGTGTTTTTTTTTTTTTTAATGCGGCATCCCTGAATCGCTTTCCATAGTATAATGCCATTTTTCTTCTTCTTTTCATGCAAACTTCATTTCTACTGTGCAATTGGTCTCCGTCATTTCAAACCCGTCATTCTCTGGTTTCTTATCGACTCAATTATTCCCCGTTACCCGCCCGCAGGTCATCGGCACTGGGTGTTGTGTATCGCCTGGTCACCCGACGGCCGGCTGCTGGCCTCCGGCTGTAAGATCGGCGAGGTGCGCCTGTGGGACCCGGTCAGCGGGCAGCAGCAGGGGAAGCCGCTCACCGGACACAAACAGTGGATCACGGCCGTCTGCTGGCAGCCGCTACACAGGTGGGGGGCAGGATAAGGGTCAAATGACGTGGGACTAGCGCGTCGGCGGAGGGCGGACAGGGTTGTGATTGAAGACGGCGGTCATATACATATGCTTTGGTGATTGCTTGCGTGTTTTAGTAGAAGCCTTGCGACTTCTCTTTGTAGTGGGCGATATGGCTCTTCATCAATAATCATTACTTTGTAATGCTATTTTAACTGTTTTGCAGTCCGTATCCTAGTCGTGAGAAAGTTTTTTTGTGCTTTCGAATAACATTTTACGTTTTAATTCGGTTGTTAAACTGGCAACAACATGCCATTAATTTGTTTTTGAAGGGATGAGTTGAGCTATGATTCCTTACTCTCAAAATGACTTACTGGTGCTGTGACCCGTCCGTCCCGCTCACCGCTGCTCCGCTCTTCCCCACCCCAGCACGGAGTCGGGCCAGTGTCGGCTGCTGGCCTCGAGCTCAAAGGACGGCGACGTGCGGGTCTGGGACGCCCGTCTGCACAGCTGTCTGCGCGTGCTCACCAGTCACACACAGTCGGTGACCGCGCTGCGCTGGGGCGGCGGCGGACTACTCTTCAGCGGCTCGCAGGACCGCTCCGTCAAAGTGTGGCGTGCGGAGGACGTGAGTGGACGAGGGAAAACGGCGGAAAAGTGTCTAACCGTTGAAAGGGGACATGTCAAGGCAGGGGAGTTTTATTGCGCTAGGAATGGCTAACCTGGGGTGCTAAATGACCCCTGATGCGATATTTCGACATGTGTAAGACGTGGTGTGTTCGTAGGTTACCGGGGACCTCGTGGTACGTATGCGTGTTCTTTCAGTGCCCTTCCAAGCCGGCTCCAAAGTGCGATAGCGTGGGTGTTTTGCAGTGTCTAACCTCCGTGCCCCTCTGTGCCCCAGGGTGTGATGGTGCGGGCGTTTTGCTGCGTCTAACCTCCGTACCCCCGTGTCCAGGGTGTCATGGTGCGGGCGTTTTGCAGTGTCTAATCTCCGTACCCCCGTGCTCCAGGGTGTGATGGTGCGGGCGTTTTGCCGTGTCTAACCTCCGTGCCCCCGTGCTCCAGGGTGTGATGGTGCGGGCGTTTCGCAGTGTCTAACCTCCGTGCCCCTCTGTGCTCCAGGGTGTGATGGTGCGGGCACTCCAGGGTCACGGCCACTGGGTGAACACGTTAGCCCTCAGCACAGACTATGTGATGCGAGTGGGCGCCTACGACCCGGCGCGTGGCGACGTCGGACATCTGGCGGACGACGTGTCAGGTAAAACTTCTGCCGCTGGAGCCTGGTGGCGCTATCTCATCCAACGGTAAACCAATTGGGGAATATTTGTTTCTGGTCCCTAAAAAGCTGTTTCTGGCACCTAATTGCTGATCAGCCCCAAAATGCTTATTCGACCCTAATATCTGAATCTGGCACCTAATTGCTTCCACACAGCCTAAAGTTGCCAGATCGTCTAGTTGAACTCCGTATTTGCTGTTTGCTGATTCAGCACCAAAACCAAAACATCCAGCACCTATTTTATTCCACGTTTGCCTACCTAATTCGCGTAATCTTCCTGATTTTATGTATCCTAACAAACATGAACGTTGCATTCGGTGACGTCAAGTGCCATTTTCGCCAGTGGAGATAATGATTAATGCCATTTCTAGCCAAAAGAGAATCACTAGCCAGCTATGGTGCAGCATAGCAAGACGCTCCTATACCAGCCCGCTATGTAGAGATTATTGCACCCTCAGCCATTTTAACGTGAAAAGTTTGGATCCGTCACTTCCAGCCAGGCTCTCAGGTCATAAACTGGAGTAAAGCAAAATGTCAACTCTGAACAGACATGCCACGCAACCGGCCCTCTTTTCAATATTACCGATTAGCTTTCTGCAATCCATCGTCTGACTCCATCTCGATCAAACGCAGCATCCGGTTTCTACAGGGGCGTTTGACTGACCGGCCACACAATAACCAAAAACAAAATCAAAGCTTCATGCACACATAAGTAAGAAACGGATGAAAAAGGCACAACCACGGCACAACTCTGCGCGGCAAACAACGGACAATGTCCCACGCAAGATCCCGCGTTTCTTCAGCGGCCTTGAACGGAATGAAAACATTACATTTCTTTTTTGGAACTATTTGATGACGTCAAAAATACAATGCCCGTTTTAATGGTCAAAATCGAGACAATTACTCACAAAAATGTTTCCCTTTAAGCATTACAAATAAATACTTTTAAATATTTAAATGACATTGTTTTTTCAAGCAAATCAATATTATTTGCTTACTTAAACGTCATATACAATGCTGAGATCACTACGGGGCTGTCTTAGAGTGTAGCTGCACTGGCAACCTTTAGGCTAGACTCCAGGGGTCATTATACCAGAACAACATGATTCTACCAGCCAGTAGTTCATTTTTCTACTAGATTGGTGCTACGCTCAGCATTTAGGTGCCAGATTCAGAAAAAAGAGTAAGGCGTACCGATGAATAGGTGCCAGAAACAGCTAATTAAGGTCATTTTCCATGATTGGTGCTGGTATCCACCAAATAGGTGCTGAGGACCAATTTTGGGGCGAGTCAGCTTTTAGGTGCCAGAAATAGCTTTTCTGGGACGCAATTAAATGGCGTCCAAACCAATTCATGTCCTGACATTTCCCCAGCTAAACTGCATAATATTTGGCCTGACTCAGCGCAAGTGATCTGTTGTGCAGCAGATCCTAACACTGCAAGGGTGACGCCTGAGCATAGTGCATACTGCCTGTGCCGTCACCTGCCTCGTCCCATTTGAACGTCAGCTCTCCTATACACAATCCTAACGCCGCTCGTCACTTCATGACGGCGATGCTAGTTTTTCATGCAGTTTCAGTATCAACTACACTCATCGCACTATTTTCCCTCCGCCTACCACCACTAACCAGTCCACTCCACCCCCGACAGACGAGCAGAAGCTGACGGCCGCTCGCACCCGGTACTCTACCGTGCTGGAGTCAGGCGGAGGAGAGGAGCGGCTCGTGTCGGGCAGTGACGACTTCACCATGTTCCTCTGGAGCCCGGCCAAGAGCAACAAGCCGCTCGGTAGGTGGTGGCGACCGGTCACTGATTTACAGACCCAGTGGGGTCGGGGGCAGGGGTTAGGTGGTGTTCAAATAGCTCAGCGGACGGCAGACAGCTGTTTGTTAATGCTGCGTTACGAAGAAGGCTGTAGCAGACTGAAGGTTTTCTATGTAAGAAAACGACCTTTGCATCGTTGACTAATTAATGACTATGCAATACATATATCTTTACTATTTGATGAAAGTTTTATGTTCTCTTTGTTGCTGTTCTTCTTTGTGTGTTGTCTGCTCTCTTTCTGTGTATTTTATGCAACTGTTTCTCGCAATAGTAGTAAGTAATTTCCAGGGAAGTTTCCCAGTTGATATAAATGCTATGCCAGTCGCTGTATATCGTTTCCAATCCACTTTCTCTAGCACCGACTCATGGCATCAATCCAATGATACCGTATCTCCTCCCCCCGCAGCGCGGATGACCGGGCACCAGGCGCTGATCAACGACGTGCGCTTCTCGCCGGACTCGCGACTAATTGCCTCCGCCTCGTTCGACAAGTCCATCCGCATCTGGGACGGCAGGACCGGAAAGTAAGCCACGCAGCGAGCGAGCGCCGGGCACGCACACGGGCGCGGGGGTGTCGTTCAGGGACCTGTCGCAGACATTAGTGGAATTGGATGCTCGGGTCGGCTGAGGCAGAGCTGGATGGTAGTTGAATTGGAAGTGAGCTCAGCGAATGTTATGTAACGTGTTCGGTAAAGCTGTTCTGCGAAATAGGTGGAGAGTTGGATGAGTTGGCATCAAATACAAGCTGGGCTAAGTTCATATTGGTTGGGTAGTGAGTTGGTTGAAAGTCGTCATCATGAACGTTTCGCGGAATTGGTTACGGTGCCGGTTATTGCGGAACTGGTTGCGGTCCTCGTGACCATAGCAGAGTGTGTATGTAGCGTGCTTCATAGTTTGTGCTTTTCCGGCTTCCATGCACTGTAACTCCTCTTGATTAACCGCAACCTCCCCTGTGTTCTTTGGTCTCTCATCATGTGTAACGTCGTCTCCTGTGTTCATAACCTCTCTCCCTTGTGCACCACCTCTCATGTGCATTGTGCAACCCTCTCCCATTGGTACCAACTCTCCTGTTTGCGCACCCACTCCCCCTGTGTTTACTCTCCCCGTGTTCTCTCCCTCTCTCAGCGCTCACCACTCTCTCCCGTGTCCCCCACCCCGCCCTTCTCATTCCCCGCTCACCACACCCCTCTGCCCGTGTCTGACAGGTTCGTAGCGGCTCTCCGTGGCCACGTGCAGGCCGTCTACATGACTGCCTGGTCGGCTGACTCGCGACTTCTAGTCAGCGGAAGCGCCGACTCTACGCTCAAAGGTACGGGATCGGGTGCATCCTCCTGCTCCTCGATTTGGCGCTCAGTGTCAGCTCTAGTAACGATTTTGTACTGAAGAGAAATTGTGTCGGCTTTTTCCAAGTGATATTGATTTGTCATCCAGGGACTAAAGGTCGGTGTTCACAGCAATGTTTTAATTGCTGCTGTTTCGATTGCCAAGGTCATTCCTAGGAACTGAATAAATAGAAAACGTTATATTTCAACTGTGATTATTCCGGCGATAGCGGTAGTGCGCGCCGTTATACCGTTTCAGTCTTGCTGAGGACGTTGCGCACCATATATTCTGTACAACCTTGGAAGAAAGAAGGCATGTCAATCTGTTGCTTTGGGGTCTAGTTGAAGATATTTTGTTGCCAGTTAGACTAACATTATTTCATTGCTGGCTAGGTCTGAAGATTTTGATATTTCAATTCCTTTGCATTGTCCGGTCAGTGTTTTGGGAGTGGATAGCGACTAGTCATACCTTACAAGCCAGCATGTAATGCTGGGTCAAGCATTGCAGAGTTGTGTGTGTGTGGTTTTTTTTTTGCATCACTGACCCTTCGGCCGTGTTTTCGTTCCGGCCGCTACATCGTATGATTCATACGCACATTTCCTCGTGTAATGCCGGCCACACCGCCTCTCCGATACTCCATCGATACGGATGAGTTATCTGACGATTTATCGTACTGCCAGCGTACTGTGAGTTACTGTCAGTGGTACGTGACCCCGTATCGACGTCGGTACCAATACCACGTGCCTCTGTCTCTGTCTGAGCATTCCCCGGGGAACATCAGCCGCTGTCTGTCGGTCTGACCCGAACACTCCGGTCGGGAGTCGGCTCTGGAAGGGATAGGTAGCGGGGAGAGAGGGCGGGGGCTGTCTTTGAGGAGCATGACTCACCTGACTACCTCGTCTGTTCTGGACGGCTCGAACCCCGCTCGGCGACTGCGTCTGACGTAGTGACTCAGCCCGTCTCCCTGATGACGCCTTCCCTCCCTCCCCGCCGTCCGCTGGGCGGCGATGACTAACGCCGGTCGTCACGCTGACCCCCGCTCACCCGCCCGCCCGCCCCGTCCACAGTGTGGTCGATGAAGACTCGTAAGCTCCAGCTGGATCTGCCTGGCCACGCGGACGAAGTGTTTGCCGTAGACTGGTCACCAGATGGCGAACGGGTGGTCAGCGGAGGAAAGGACAAGCTGCTCAGGATGTGAGTTTGATGGGGAGGACAGGTGGTGTACCGGGTGAGGTTGTTTCTTTGTGTGTGACTAGGGGGTGGGGATGGAGGTTGGAGGACGGGCACGGTGGGTCGATAGCTGTTGTGTGACGCAGCATGGGTAAGAGGTCGGCACAAGACCCGAACAGAGACAAGGACTGTTGGCTCGACAGACACCGCGCCGCCCCTGTAATGAGTCGGCGCCTCGACAGCAAGGCCGCGGCCGGCCGGCGACACGATTGATTTTCGCCGGCCGACGGTGACCTTTGTTACTGGGCCCTGGCGCGCGGCCAGTGACCGACCCGCGCGCGCTGCTCTGACCCCACCGACCGGGCCGCTTTCAGATGGCGCCGGTAGCCAAACGGACGGCGGCGGCGGCGGGGCTATTTTCGCCCCACCACCGCCACTGACAGACGGCGAGAGAGGGCCGACCGGGGGCCAGGAGCGGCGCCGGTGGTGGCGAGGCGCTGGCCGGCAGCCCGTCCCTGGCCCGTGACGGCGGCTCCGTGGCAGCCGGCCAGCCTGGCCCGGCGGCCGAGACGGCACGGCCAGCCCGGCGGCTGAGACATTACGACCAGCCTAGCCCGGCGACTGAGCTAACTCCGAGTCGTCAGGTGTGCTGGCGGGGCGCGGCGACCCGACCCGGCCGGCCGGCACCACCACCGCTCGGTAAACGCCGCCTCCCGCTGGAGGTCAACAATACACTGCCACCGATCCCCACACCCCGGGCTGGTCGGCCCTGAGCTGACAGACGGTCACTTTTACTGTGGAATAGGTGAATTGTGACCAGTGTGAAAATGAACACGAGTTGTTATTTTTGAGGGATTTTTATGGTCTGCAATATAATGTGGAGCGTAACAAGGTGTTTCATTTAGCGCATTCATGCGTAATCAACCCATTTATTGGTCTAGTGTATTCAGGTACTGTTTGGCAAGCGAAGTTCTTGCTTGCTGAGGCGCTATGTCTTGGGCAGCATGGTGCCTGTCAATGGTCACAAGGGGCTCTTGGCTGGACGACGAATATTCGTGACTTTTTCTCGTTCAGTCGCAGGTCTTATTCTTACGTCAACGTCGAACGTATAATGGACAATCGACAGGCAATTTTTGCACTCAGGAAACCAGAAGGCTACTTCAAATGGTGTCAAAGTGGCGCATACAGCAATGTAAAACAGCGTAATTACAGTATTTAAGTGAAAAGTATTTACATGCTTGATCCTAAGGTGTTCTCCCTGTGCCTCAATGTATTATGTGTTCTCGAACCTATAGTTAGAGTTCTGAGGGTATTGCAGGCTGTTCGAAGTTGGCTGCCTTGCTTCATGCTTATCCGATTTGTTTTTGTGTTGCGTCATTTCCTGATCCCCACTTCGCACCGGCATCTCCACATCGGGACCACCCATTCACAGACACAGCGGATCCCTAGTCAATGTAATCAAATGGCTTCACAAGCTCTTACCGAATTTCCCGTCCGTCCGACTGACCGACGGACTAGCAGGCTGTGTGACCGGCGCGGGGCCGGAGCTCACGGGACAGGGGCGCGGCGGCCGGAACCGTCAGACGGTGCCCGGCCGCTGACGCCCGGCTAGAAAAATACTGTTAGTGGCGCGGGTCAGACGGAGGAGGGGCGGAGCGGCGGCGGCGGCAGCACCAAGGCACGTGACGCCGCCGTCGGCTGACAGTCGGCCGGGCCGTCCTCCGGATGTGATTCACGGTCCGTCGATCGATGGGGCGAACAGAGCGGGCAGCGGCGGACAGGACAGGGCAGGGCAGTGGCCGCGCTCTGGGCAGGCACACCACTGAAAGACTGGTGCAGCGGCCGGCACCCGCTGAGTGTGCGCTCTCACCCGACCGCGGACCGGTCGCGAGGCTCGCTCAATCGAGCCGGACTAGTGGCTAACGTACGGCGCTCCCGGAGACCGACACGGTCCACAAGCACTCGGCGCAGGACGACGGACGTGTCACATCTCTCACTCCGCGGAGTGACCGGCATCGGCCGAGACCCGTCCCGACTCCGAACAGTCGCTCGTCAGGTCCGGTACCCGGATCTTCCATCAATACCTCCCTATATCACAGCGCGTCGTCGGAGCGCGGGCGGCCGCAGAAAGCTCGCGGTAGCTGTGCCCGTCGACACAGCACGCCGACACGAGCTGGCCCCGTGATCGGCCGGGTCGCAGCGGCGACCGACCTCAGAACACTCACTGAGTCTGCTGAGTTCACGGAGTTCTCCGTGCCTGGCTGTTATGCAAAATGACGGGATATGTGAACTTTGAAGCTTCCCAGTTCCCGATATTGAAAGATATTGGGCTCCGTTGTAAATAGGACGCCCGACGTTTGATATGGCTTCCTAGTCTAACAGCTGCGGCAGCCGCGACAAGAGTGACAGACCCTGGTCGGTTTCAGTAATCATCTGCTACAGACTACGCACATTGACTGGCGGTGGGCTTGGCTTGATGAAATGTTCGCACTCGGCCTCTTATCGCGGCATTTCCAGTCCACCAACGTCACTGTCTTTCACCATCACCGCGCTCGCGGCAGTGATCTTATTTCCACCTCCACGAATCCGAATCCCACCGTCTTCGCTTCGTCCTTATTTCACCGTTCCTGGTAGACGAGTTAAGTCCGTCACTCCCCCTCACTCTCTCCCTTTTTCTGCACTCTCCCCTCACTCCCGGTACTCCCTCTCCTCGCTCTACGTCGCGCTCAGACGACCGTCCACACGTTAGCATGTTCTCCCTCACTCTCCCCACTCCTTGCACTCTCCTCATCGCTCTCCGTCGTGCTCAGACGACCGCCCACCTCTCTGCGTGCTCTCCCTCGCTCTCCTCACTCTCTCGTCACTCTCAGACGACTGTCCACGTTTCGGCGTGCTCTTCGCCGTCGCTGGCGGTGCTGTAGCCGTCTCCGTCGTATCTGTCCCGTGACCCGGTGATGGAGCGCACCTCCAGGTCATCGGAGTCCGTGTCTGAGGCGGCCCACGAGGGCGGCCGGGGAGGCCACACAGTCTGTGGAAGAAGGGAGAGAGAGCGTCAGCAGTCAAAGCTCAGCACGCTGGTCCTGTAGAGATGGATGGACAGACGGGAACTTTGACACACTATCGGGGCTTATTGAGAACATCCTCTTTGTTCTGAAAAGGTGCATGCTGGGCGCTGGCATTGCTAGGCATCCTGTAAGAACCTAACAATTTCTTGCCACTTTTATCCAGCGAATCGCACTGGCCTGATTCCTGTTCCTGCAGTTCGGCGATCGATGAGATCGACAAGGTCTAATCCCATCCAATCTACGCACGGCGTTGCACGGTAGAACCCTGCAACTTTTCCGTCGTTCGCTGTTGAAAGTTGCCCACCAGAGTTGCATAAACGTTATAAACGTTGCATAAGCGAATTTCGACGTCACAGGTGACAGTACTTTTGGTACGACTCCCACTCCCACCTTCCACACATACCCACACATTTCTATCTTGTCCAGGTAGACATCGAACTGCAAAAACTTTGCTACAGGACGGGATTTCACACGCGGAGGGCCCCTCGCAGCGCCCCGTCCAGTCCGTTTCACACCCTGCCCGTACGAACAGCGGGCTAAAGTCCACCATCGACCGCCAGCCGCACCGACCACGTGACCATGACCACGGGAACAAGGAGCCAGTGCGGCAGGACGTCACGGACCGGCCGCCCGCCCCGGAGTGGTCACGTGACGGGTGCGGTCAGAACCTATGTAACTTCCGTTTTGAGGAACCGTTGAGAAAGTGGTCAGGTCGCGTATAGGTCATAGGCTGGCATAGGCCGGTGAAAGGGGCATAGAAATCGTGAGAAAGATGGTCCTTGCACGGATGTTTGATAAAGAATGAGGTGCAGGCCAGTCGCCCATGGTCATGGCCGGCACATTTTTGGGTGCTCTTTTATTTACTTTTAAATAAGCTTTCATCTTATTTTTAGTATCCGGTGGGCGGTAAAGGACTGAAGGACTCACGTGGGAGACAGTGATGTATTTGTCTGCGGACGTTTGACGGTCTCCTCAACTCCGTCGACTCACTGCATTATATATAAGCAGGTTCGGGGGACCGGCGGACGAGCTGAAGCCCCAGGGAGCGTCCCAGTTAAAACCACCTCCAGGCGGCACGTGGCTTCCTGACCTCTCGTCGAAGAGGGTTCGTCGCGCTCCCACTGACGGAAACTGGATCCGCCTCCGGTGGGATTTGAACCACTTACCTCGGCTGCAGTGAAGGAGCGCCGCTGCGCTGTCGACCTGTAGGGGTGCTGGTCGGCGCCCTGCGGCGCCAGCCGCTGATCGGGGCCCGCGTAGGAGCGCCGGTCGGCGGCGGCAGCCACCAGCGCGTGCTGATCGGGGTCGCAGAACGAGCGCCGCTCGGGCAGCCCGGCCACCGAGCGGCGCATCGGCAGCCCGGAGAAGGGCCGGCCGTCGGCTCCGGCGGGCGCCGGCCGTCGGCAGGGGATCACGGTGCACGTCTCGAGCCGTCCCGAGTCGCCGTACTCGGGGTACACGGTACGGACGATCACATAGGCCGGCTGGCGGGGCGGTCCACCGGGCGGCGCCGGCGGCGGCGGTCCGCTCGGCTCGTAGGAGAGGGAGCGGCCGGCTGTGCGGTACGGACTGACGGCCTCGGGGTGGTAGGAGAGCGGCCGCCGGTCCAGGCAGCCGCTCGGCGTCAGGTAGGTGGGCGTCGGCCGACTGACGGCCGGCTCGTACATGCTGTAGGGCCGGCCGCGCAGTGCCGGGGACGCCGGCACGCTGATGAGGCCGCCGGCGGCGCCGGGCAGACACTGGTCCCGGTACAGGGCGTGGTACTGCGGCACGCCGCGGCTCGTCGTCACCTCGGTGGGCCGGCAGGTGACCGGGGGCGCGCGGTACAGACTGGGAGGCGCCGGCGGCCGCGGCGGCGGCGCTGACGAGCTGCGGACGGCCGGCTGCTCGGCGGGCGGCGGGCACAGGTCCGACGCCCGACATCGGTCTGAAACAACACCACAGGCCGCCGTCTGACACTGACACATGCCACCTGTCCTGGCACGGCTGCAGCGAATACCGGTAACAGATACCTGGTAACGTTCAAGCGGTTCATTGAGGTGAAGCTCCTGCGAGGCTAAGCTAGCTATAGCTACATGTTTGCTTTGGCTCACACATGATCCATCAGTTAAACCACGAGCACATGCTGTGCACCGATCCAAAAACGCCAGTCGCCAGCCTAGTGAAAGTCCCTGCCCCAGTTTATCATGCTCTGCGCTAGAATCACTGACGGGCGCATGTGTATAGGTGCCACCTGCCAATGTTACACGCACAGGCTGGCAGTTTACAGTGACGCCCCCCCCCCCCTCCCGGGCACACACACAGGCGGGCACCGCGGCGTGTCTGCCAGCGCGGGGCGCCCGTCCAAGGTGTACAAACACATCTCGGCCACCCAGTGTCGGTGCCGACAGTGACGACGGCGGCCGACGTTCGACGGCGTCCTACGTACCGACGATGTTGTACGTGCAGAGCGGACAGGTGCGCCGGCTGATGAGCCACGGGTCCACACAGCCCCGGTGGAACTCATGTCGACAGGGCAGCACCCGCAGCTCCTGCCCGGGTCGGTACTCGTCCAGGCAGATGGTGCACCCCTCGGGCTCCTCCAGGCGCGGTTTGTGACCGGCCGGAGGCTCCGGAGAGTGGGCTGAGAGACAGCGGGGTCGACCGGGCCGCGGAGTGCCGCCCCCGACACCGCCGGCGAACCGGCGCGTCGGGATGTGGTGCAGCACCGACTTGGCTAGTCGCAGCGCCGGGTCCTGTCGGCAGGGGCGGCATGGGTCAGTGGCGGGTCACACAGGTCACACGGATGATCAAGGTCAGGTCATGACACATTGAAATGATAACTTATGCCTGATCTTTGCTGGAAAACATCTTCGAAAAATATGTGATTATGATAGACTCGAAACGTGTTCGTTGTGATAAAATGGATTGACGGATGAACGTTGTTGAGCTTCGGTTTGCCTTCAGTCATCCGTTCAGGACCATATCGGTTTCCCTGTTTCCGCTTCCGCCCAGTGAGTGCAACCAGAAGCAGAGAAATCGCACCGATTGATACGAACATTGTTGCAGATTTATTTGAGCGAAATATGAAACCATGGCTGCATTGAGCGGAACAATAAAAGGGAATCATAAATCGAGCTCAGCCTCCAAACAATACGTTGTTGCGTGCTATAGAATGGCAGTGGCATAGCATGGGCTTTTATTAGTCTACAATCAACAACATAAATTTTCCCATCCACAGGTTTGATGAAACCTTTCGCTTTTTACGGCGATAAAGGGCTATAAAGTATGAAAAGTTTCTCTCCTGCGAACCAATCTGAAGTGAGCCCATTATGAGCCCATATTTTACCGTCGACACTTTGACCGAGGGATTGTTTAAAGTTTGAACAGCACGCTGTGCCGTCATCCATTAACGCCTATTATATGCATTGTTAAAACAGGTTTTATGTTCAGATGTTAGATAATTGGAAGAAAATTGGCCGAAGGTCGTTCGGCGTGGCAAATGGCGTCCCATTTGTATCGTCAAAATATTAAATGGAATCGAAACACACCTTTTGGCACGAAATAGAGCATTTATCATTAATAACTAAATTATTCAACCCTAAGCATTAATAACCTTCCACTTCTGGGGACATTTGAAGTCGTTCAAACACTCAATACTCATCTAAAAACAAAACGACGATAAAACCACATACCCTCACAATGACTTGTCACCTCCTAGAACTAGGTATAAATTGTGTAACAAACAGCCTACATAACATCATAAACTTGACGCCCTTCTATGATGGGGAAAAGAGCCCTCTTCCACAAACAGACCCACAAAAGGCAGCTCAGCTCACCCACCCTGTGCCGCCGATTTCGTATCTTGTAGAGCACCACGCCGCTAAGCAGGCAGATGAGCAGGAAGAACACGACGAACAGCGCGATGTCGAAGTAGGTGAAGGCGGGCGCGGCGGCGGCCGGCTCGGTGTCAGCCCGCTGCCGGCTGACGCGCACAGTGACGCTGGAGGCGGGCCTCAGCAGCTGTGACAGACGCACCATGTCCAGCTCTTGCATCACCAGCACCGGACCCTGCAGCCGCGGGTGGCGCTGGCCGGCCAGCAGCTGGAGCGGTCAGATAGGGGGGGGGGGGGAGGGCGTCACACGGCGGGGTCAGGGCATCCCGTCTGTATAGAAAGACGGGCATAGAAGGAATATTGCACACACCGGTACGCAGAACGCTTGGTATACGGATCACAATCGATCAATTGAAATACTAATGATCGATTAACCGTTGTTTATATTCGGCTTTGACAACTGACAGTTTGATTTCGACAGCATATAAGAGCTAGACTCCAAAGCGCTTTGAGAGAAAAAAATAAATAAATATAATAGCGTTTTTCATGGGAAGGCGTAATTGTTGCATTATTGTTTTTTTTTTGATATGCATTATGCAAGTGTATCTGCGACTGTTTGCACATCAAAGTTATCATGCATACGTTACCACGCTCACTTTCACGACACGCGCACGCATACCTACCTATGGCCTATGCCAACCGTACTATGATTATTAAGGATACGTTAGGTGACAAAGAAAAATATGAAGTTATGCATTAGGCATGATTTATCAAATGATATATTAGGCCTAAAGCAACCGCCCTTCCACTTCGTTTGAGTTTCGACCCATTTAGCAACGCCCACCGTTTAAACGCACGAGTCGCACGCTATCTGCCAATCTTTGCACGGTTTCGCTTACATGAAACAGCAGCCGAGCGGAGCGATGCCGCGTTCTGGCTGACCTGCGCCGCTGTAAACACATGTGCCGTTGTTCGAGGAAGCGCACCATTCCTCTCAGCGGCGAGAATTCTAAACAGCAGGGTGGCTTATCGCCGGCTCCTGGGGCCTCCAGCTCGCTGAATTGGGCTCAGACGGGTCGCATCGGTCGGCGGGAAGCCAAAGTTTGACAGCGCCGGCCCGACCCCCCTCGTTGGGTCACGTTTTATTGATAACGTGACTCACGACGCCTGCCGACTGTCTAAGATGACAGCTGGGGCTGGTGGGCTTCCGTAGCAGCACCGTTCGCGTCCGTTCCAAACGGGGCAGGGAAACTGGATAGACAATTCACTTCCTCGGCTCAGCCTTCCAGTGCTTCACGCTTATGGTGTGACAGTTCTTACTATGCATTTATAAGTCATGGCTGTAAACGGTTAAGAGCAAAATTATTGTGGCAGGATACATAAGTGTGGCCGTTCTAAACGGCGGCAGATTTGCTTCGTTTCCTTTTTACTTCACAATGCTTTTTTGTCTTGACTTCACCCCGAGTGTTCTGCATGTTCTGAGCGTTCTGCCATGCCTACAGCTGTTCGGGTTTTACGGGGATTTTTCTATCATTTTCGCATGCGTTATTTCATTTATAGATATCATTACCGTTCCTTTATTCTTGACGGTGTGCTAAAGATTTTAGGCATTGCTTTGTGTGCTCGTTTGCAACCCCGCATACCTGCATGTGAGTGGAAAAGGAACTTGAGCAGTAAAATTTGGACAATCAGCTCAGCCGTCTAGACAATGTGTTTGATGATGCGACTTCCCGACAATACCTAACAAAGATCGCAATTTGTTCCAGCTTTGCGAACAGTCCCTTTTCAACAACCATATCATCTAGAACGATCGCTTATACTGGCTAGTTCCGTCTTCCGCATACAATAGCCCCATTGTTTTCTCGGTATCAAATATTTGACAGATGCATAACACATGTCGTACAGACCCGGTGTCATTGATTATGTCGCCGGCTGTTGGCACAGCCGGCGCTCAGCACTCGGCACTCAGCGCTCCGGACACTCGGCACTCACCTCTGTGACCATTTCCGGGGCGCGGGTCATGTCGAATATCACGGCCACCGCGCCCTGCTGGAACGCACTGCTCGCCTGCGGGCACACAGCACGGTTATGGGGCGGTGTTGGGCGTGGTGTCACACTGCAGGGCGGCAGAGCCTGGTGCACAGCGGATTGTGTTTTAAGCATTCATCCAAATCCTACTTCAATTCAATACAGCAGGGAAGGAGTGCCAAGAAGTTTTGAACGGCTTTGGCAAACAGGTTTGCAAGCTATGAAAGTAAACTGTTTTAGTAAGCGAATTTAATTGTTACATGTGTTTGCGTAGACAATTATATATATAAAAAAAAGTTTCATGTATAGAACCATACAGAATGACATTCCGACTCGCTTTCACAATTTATAAATACATAATTGCATATAATGCCTAGGTTATGCTTACGGCAGGCATTAAGCGCCCGTGTTGATGCGTAGCTAATTGAACTTGGGATACACGGGACGCTCTTTGATCTCGCATATTGCTTTTCTCACAGGAAAAGCTATCCTTTTATCGTAAGAAAATCATGAGATATGTTACATTCAGCAGTCAGCACTTGCCGGTCGTCCCACTGCCTCAGTGTCCGTGTGATCACCTAAAACTGGGTCCAGCCCATTTCCGCTTTTGTAACCCTAAAACGATTATTTTCCCGCTATGTCGGCCTCGTGGCCGCCGGGCTCTTTCAACAGCCGGCTGGCAAATGAGCATTTGGGTGAGCAGGCGATATGAAATGTCTCGGTAATATCCTGCCGTCTGCAGGGCGGCGGAGCGCCGTATCTCAGCCGGGTAATCAAGTGCAGCAGCCGGCGGGCCTGGCCGGGGTCGGTCGGCCGGACAGGAGGGCCTGGAGGGTCTCGTCCCAGGCCGCGCTGAACGATAAGGTTTGAAACAGGACGTAGCGGAAGAGACAGGAAGCCAAGTCAAACGATGCCTATCCGATGAGCTCATACGAACTGTAAACATCAGACGGCACAGCTTGCCAAAAACACGAGTTCAGAACGGTTCTGATATCTCATCAGACAGAACTACACGAGAATATGAAGGATGTGCGTTTTAGCGTATGTATGTGCAATGACAATTGTGTGCAAGATATTTTATGATATACGACATCATTCATGGCAATACATATTACACTGCTATCAGTGTAATATGGATCAGTTCAGTATCAGTATTCACTATTCAGTGTAGTATCTGGATGTCTTCAGCGTTGCTATATGTACCGACGGCAGTCGGCACTTGCCCATTGCCCGTTGCCCTGAACGTTTGCCTTTTGTAATTTAGCGTGATGAATGCATGAATGTGAAACCGTTCGACACCAACGTTCGATTGCCCAGCCACCCGGCTGTGCTCGGAACGGGCCACTGTGCAATAAGCAAAATAATCAGATGACCGGTCGAATGCGAAAAACACGGCGCTGGTAATTCATTCACTGTTTGTTGTTACAGATGACAGACGAAACAGACTCGGTTCATCTGCATGTACTCGGTATTCCGGTGCACTTTGCAGCGTACCTATACCTACTCGCGTCCTCTCATGGACATGGTGAGATGGGATCTACAAATGGACAGTCTAGAGACGAAAGGTCAGTTATAGAAACATGCTACCAGGAGTCTCCACTTCAAACTTAGCTTCGGTATAAAGTTTTATATGGATTGGTGGATGCGTCAAACAACCTCCTTGAGCTAAGCATTCTGCATCTTTCACGTTGATACACACGTCCGCATAGCTTCTCGAGCCTTGGCGCGGCTATAGCGTCGGGATACCATTTTAATCCATCGGATGATCAATTAATCATTGCTTCGTTTATACCGTGACCGATACATATCAGGCAGGTCTAAACTGAGAGCATCTAATCCGTCTGGTCCTCGCCTAAGCAGCGGGGCCTGAACGGTATACGAGCGGAGGCTGGAATGTATCCAAGACGCCTGCCAGCTCTCTGAGCAGCGTCCAAATTTTATCTCAGACACATCTTTACACCGACGACCGTGTGGATATATCGGACGAGGCTAGACCTGAGAGAGCTGATACTTTATTTATCTGAAGCTCTTCTTGGACCGAGCTCAGGTCAAGTTGGGGTTATTCCCTAGGTTTGGCCCCATCTAAATTCGACTGACTCTTCTTTTTCGCGCCGTGTCAAACTCGACAAAACTCGGGCTAATCTCGCAAAGGCCACTGACTTGTCCCGGCTAATCTCGGACTGACCTTGAACCAGCCTAATTCTGACTGAGGTCAGGCAAAAGTTGAACTCTTAACCAAAGTGCCGGCTGTTAGACTTTATACGCGCTTGAGTCGCTCGCCCGCGGTGTGTGAGTGAGATCGGTATACTCGTGTGCCTGTACTTAGTCTACAGGTATGTGCCGTGTGTGTCGTTGTTATGTACCGATATGTACCAGATACCAGTGTGATGCATCATCGGTACTGCGACTGATCCGTGAGGTAATACTGGACCAACCACGGACTAATTTCAGGCTAACCCCATGGGCCAGTCCGACTGACTTAGGATTATCCTCCCCAGACTGCTCCGATGGACCTTTGGCTAACCCCGGACTAATGCTTACTACCTATCTCGGGCCACTCGGGCTAATTAAAGCTGATCTGGGACTGCTCTCGGACCGAGTTCGGTCTAACTAACCTGGCTCCGGGCCGATGAACAGACGCTGGGCTGGGTGGTGGGCGGCTCCAGCCTCAGCAGCGGGATCCAGCGATGGGGTCGCAGCTGGAGAGCCGCCTCGCCCGGCCGACACAGGTGCACGCTGCGCACCTGAGGCAGACATGGGGTCACATGAGGTCACATGAGGTCACATAAGGTCACATTAGATCAAAAGGAAACATGAGGTCACAAGAGGTCATAAAAGGTGGTCACAAAAGGGATAACAAGATATGCAGAGGATGTGTGGGAGTCTGAAAGATCAAACAATCCCACAAAGCAGACACTGATGCCACTGGTATGAAACTAAATGCATGACGGTACGTTTATGCTGACATATCGACGCGTTTTTTCCAAACCTCACACCTGTTCTCCCGTGCATTTCCGGGAAGCACGAAAGATCCCTTTCAAAAACTGTCCAATTATCCGATCCTGATCAAATATATGTGTTCGTAAGCTGGTTCTGGCATTGCTTGATCTGCCACGACAGGCAAACTGAAAAAAAAACGAGTGACTGTACCTTTTTTGAAATTTCCTTTCCAACTTGTCGGGAGAACAGATATGGGGTTTGAAAAAAAAAAAACGCGTCGATATACCGCGCGGTAAAAAAGCGCGTCGGTATGTACATACGTTCATTGTTCATGACAGTGGCATATTAGGTAGGTATGCATTAGGTACCCTTTACGCCTACGATGTACGTAAAGGGCCTTAGGTTTGAATGATCATGGGTTTCATCCAACCTATGAAAACGCTTATGCTAGACTTGAGCACATTGGTCTAGCCTGTGTAGCTAAATGTGCATAAAAAGTAATAGTGGTATATAATTTGTGAAATTTCACGTCCTAAAAAAAAAAAAACAGATAGAACTTTACGCTCAAAGTCAGCGAAAGCACCAGCCTGCGCTAGTTTCACATCCGAGTTGACTTAGAGTGGACGATAGACGGTTTCGTCTTTCGAGCATCATACTTCCTTTATTTTGGCTTCTATAATATAGGTATCTTTAATTATTCAACTATTTTGATATTCTCAGCAGTGCTCTGGCCTCTAAGCTTTTTGTCCGACATTGGACCTGGAATTCTCGAGAGGGCCCACTCGACCATTACGTAGGTCGTTATCGGAAAAAGAAACAGAGTCCAACAAAACATAGTTTGTCGATACAGGACTGAAAGAATGGTACCAACACAAACACGTAATCATACCATTACCTGAAGCCTGCTGTGTCTTCAACATGCGATGTATGGCATATCGCTGAGGTATCCCGGTCATGTATAGCGAGCAGCGGAAAGGTTATAGTAGTAGCCTGCGATCTAAAAACGAACACATCACAGCAGCTAAGTCTCACATCAACATGGCAACTGGCGTTCGGTGACGTCGGTAAAACGTCCCATGGCCTTTGCCTGAATGTGGCGGGGTCGCGAAGCCAGCCATGAATATGTCCACCGCTCGATAGCGGGGCTGACCAAGCCACAATCGATGGCCCGAATATGAAGCTATTAGCTCTGTACATCCCCGCCCGACAAGCAGTGGCTAATTTAGACGGAGCCGTTGTCAGGGCTGAGGGGGCAGTGAGCACCTTCGGTCGTGCATGCCACCTATTTTATTTGGACTCTCATTGAACTCTCATTGACCTCTCATTGTGACCCCATCTTAAATGCTCCACTGAAGAAGTGGCGATTGCGATTTTCATCGGCGCTATATAATCTCTATTCGTTTCTGAGTTATGTGCCGATTTGTCATGAAGTGTCGAAATGGGCGAAACTTGACCTTTGATGACCTCTGGTGACCTTGACCTTTAATTTTACGTTGCAAGTGACCGAAGTACTTTCTTCATGATTGTCGACACTCTTTGGAACACCGTTTACCGCGTGTAAATATAACGTGGCCCATGGAGCCGACGTGGACGGAGGGGGGCAAATACCCCAAGCTCTTCGCCGAGTACCGACCCGGCGCAGGTTAAAACAACCACCATTTTCGCAAAAATACTGTGCCGCTATACGAGTATGTCACCGTTCCGAAGAGCATTGTAGCTCGCTATAATGCTGCACGTCAATGTGTGAACCAGTGATTGTGTTTTTCCACAATGCACAAGCCTTTTAGTGCAAGTGCACTATGCACCGTCGTCTGACTCACATGCATTGCAGTGTTCAACTAATTTTAAATACAACCACAGTATAATACTAATTTTCGTGATTTTAGGTCAATTGATAATGATATCATAACGCCATTTTTATCTTTTATAACTTCATGATGCCGGTGATTTATTGATGTCTAAATGAAATGAAGCGTCATCTATTTCATTTATTTTATTTTTGACTGAAAATGACATCTTCTTAATCCTACCTATCCTTTTAACCCTCGCCCATGTAGGGGGGGGGGGGTTGGTGCAACCCCCCTCCCCCCTGAGGTTTTTCTTACCTACACGCCGAACCGTTTCAGATAGCCTGCTCAAATTTTCAGTACCCTTTGGGGCATCCTTTGCGCAACTTTTGGTAATTTTTTTTGTCAAGGTCATGTCAGGTCACGGAGTATGACGTCATAAAGGGAACAACCTCCGGCCAGATTTACGCTAAATTGGAGATTGCTTCACATTGGTATAAATGCCGACTGACCTGACACACTGGATGGATTGTTTTAGAATCACAACTGGCTGATTTGACATTGGCACAATGTCCGTTGACATTTTGAAGGTTACTAAAGGTCAAGGTAAGGTCAGTGACCTCGGTTGACCTGTAATGACTTCTTGCACTTGTATGCCTTTTCGGGGTATTTTGATGCCCTGAATTCGAATTTGCTATCCATTTCAGGCATCGTCGGTTGTTTCTTGTAGTTCATTTTGGGTCAGGGTCAGGTCAGTGACGTCACACGCCTGACGTGACCCAATGCACAAATGACCTTGCAGACTTCCGATGCTCCCAACGCATCATTTTTAGAGTTATGACATCGAAATATACACCAAACGATAGAGAATTGATCGAGGATCACGGTAGTGAAGGTTTCAAGTCGATATCTATTACCGTTTTGTCGCAATCGGCGCGGAACTCTGAAAAAGTTAGATTTTTCCGAAAATTTGACCTTTGACCGGTCATAAGTAGGTCAAATGTTGACTTAGGACCAAACAATATACCACCAATCGCGAGATCTCGTTGAGAGCAGCAATCCGTTGGTCTTTTCCGCTAAGCTCTACGACGCTCCGTTTTCAAACGCCAGGGGGGGTCGCACCAACCCCCCCCCCCCCCCTGCATGGGCGAAGGTGGCAAAACACCGTTTACGGGCGAGGGTTAAAGGGTGGCGCTGCTGATAACATAAGGAACCATGTAACCATAAGTGTGCTCGTATCGTATCGCGTTATAGGTATTATTCAAAGGTAACACAACTTTACCGTTGGATAATGCGCCATAACCACACTGAAACTTATGGACGCAAGTTTCCGGGCCTCAGTTTTCTTTTCAGGTGTCACGGTTGGTAAAGAACACCATTACACGTTCTAGGGATTTAGGAACAAAGGCTCTCGTAAATACAGCAATTAAAGGGACTATCCCACCTTCTAAAATGTTGTTAAAACCAGTTAAATTGTGCCCGACTTTATAGATTGGATGACCAGGAACACGGTTCTGGCATTTATTTTTCATTAAACATCTTAGGCTTCCCATATTCCAAACACAAACTTTCAAATATGTGACGTCACAGCCAGGGCTGCGGAGTCGGAGTCGGAGTCGGAGTCGGAGTCGGTCGGAGTCGACAGTTGTGACCGGAGTCGGAGTCGGAGTCGGAGTCGGTATTGGAAACCCCAGCCGGAGTCGGAGTCGGAGTCACCGAAAATCTGTCGACTCCGCAGCCCTGCCAGGTGTGCGGAGTCGGAGTCGGGAGTTGGAGTCGATCGGAGTCGACATTTCTGCCCGGAGTCGGAGTCGGAGTCGGAGTTGGTTTTTGAAAGCCGGAGTCGGAGTCGGAGTCGGAGTCGCCGTAAATCCATCGACTCCGCAGCCCTGGACAGCCCAAAATTACCTCCTTCCCCAGGCCACATTACTGTCATAAAGCTGATTCTTTTTACTCTGTAGGCACCACAACAAAGTTCAGACCAAGTTTTAAGCGATTTTTTAACGAACAAACCCATTTAAATCAGAATGACTAAACGAGGTGACGTCACACTAACGGTCGCTCCATGTTGAAGATAGGGCCTTGTACAAGGCCCATTTTCAAATGAAGGGAACGAATTTCTTCAACACCAAGAGGCCGCGGGGGTTGCAACCTAGATAGATAGTGGTTTCTGAGCCTCGCCGCAAACTTGGCTATCTCAACTCAAACCCCATGTTAAAGGTGGGATAGTCCCTTTAAGTTCGAAATATGGTTCTCGTTTTGCTTAGGTGCGAAAGCAGTGCGTAACTATGTGCGTAACTGACAACGGAACCGAGGAATATCAGCTAAATGCTGACACTTATTGAATGACAGCTTGAATATCATCCCAATTCTATCTTGCTCCATCTTTAGACATTAATAACCTTGCATTTTGTAGGCTATCTAAACCAGACACGTACCTAAACAGGTATAGCAATGGCAGTTTTTATCTTCCCGCTTCCCGCCACACACCACCTCTCTCTCTCTCCCTCTCTCTCTCTCTCTCTCTCTCTCTCTCTCTCTCACACTCTCTCCCACTCTCTCTCCTCCTCCTCCTCCTCCTCCTCCTCCTCCTCCTCCTCCTCCTCCTCCTCCTCCTCCTCCTCCTCCTCCTCTTCCTCCTCTTCCTCCTCCTCCTCCTCCTCCTCCCCCTCCTCCCATCTGCTCGACACGTCTCCCTCGGTCCTAATGAGATCCCGAGTCTGCAAGGTCGCCGGAAACAGCCACAAAGTCGGCCAGAGGCGACCACTCAGCAGTACACCGAGCCGCCCACCACATCGCTTTCAGAATCAAATTATTGATCGCTACCTGCGGGGAAACGACGCTCTTTTTACGAGAGTTTAAAGCGCAAACAAAGGCCCCTAAAACAGACAAAAATAAAGCATAAGTAAATGAAAAGATATTACTAAGGGTATGATATAAGGCATCCGCATCACGTTATTCTCATCGACATGAAACCTATTTGAAGTATGGTCTCTGGTTAACTCTTGTCTTATACGCTTCCCTTAAAGGGACCCTCCCACCTTAACATTAGTTTTGAGTTGAGATAGCCAAGTTTGCGGCCAGGCTCAGAAACCACCATTTATCCTGGTCGCAACCCCCGCAGCTTTATGGTGTTCAAGAAATTTCTTCCCTTTACTTGCAGGGTGGGACCAGCGTGGTCCCTATCTCTAAACCATTACGGGAATCTGATGACGTCATCAGGCTTTCGAACGTCAGTTAAATGTTCGACTAAAACGTTTTGTAGCACGCGGTGGTATATGCTGCTTTGCGCGCAACAAATGCCGCACTTTCAAATAAAGTCGCTAGGAACAGCGGAGATCCCAAAAAGTAAACAAAAGTAAAAGTCTAATATCTTGAAAACCGGTGAGTATTTTTCGATGAAATTTGGTAGATATTCGTTTTTGCTCTTTCTGAACCGAGCGACATCACTTTCATGCCAATTCATTAACTTTTTTGAAGGTGGGAGGGTCCCTTTAAGTTAAGGGCCTTAACCCGCGCGGGGCTGGGGTCTCCAGCCGAACGCGCGGGGCTGGGGGGGTAAATTTTACCCCCCCTGTTATCTCCCGAACTAATGGTCTGATTTGGAAAATTCAAACGCCAATCGAAAGCTCTCATCACGAACTACTAAAAACATGTACTTAATTTAAAGTTTGAGGTCAAGGTCAAGGTCAGGTCAAGGGTACAAATTGCAAGTTTCTACAGTATCGGCCTTGCACCGTAGTTGCCGAAGAATGGAGTCATGGACTGAGACTGATCGCCCAAAACGTGTTCTTAGGCTACCAAGACAATATTCTTTGCATACAATATCATTCAGAGGTCAGGGTCAAGGTCAGGTGAGGTCAGGTCAGGTCACCAAAAAACAAAATATAGAAAAGGGCATGTGCGACACATGTTTTATGGGTCATTTTACTCATAGAATTCAATAGGCACACTCAATAAGTGATATGGACCACCTCTGGATGAATTTCAGGTCGAGGTCAGGTCAAGGTCAGGTCAAGTGAGGTCAAATTTTGAAGTTGGTTGTTAAGGCCTAAAAAGGTGTCTATCTGATGCAGTTTTTCACGGCGAATCGAATGGTGCTATTTTTGTTTCCGTACGAGGTCTAGAACTTCCAAAAAAAACATTTTTCAAAAAATTTGTGTGTCGTGACGTCATAAAATTTTGAATAACTCCCACATTTTTGAACCGATTCTTCTAAAATTTGGTATGTAGGTGCACATAGACCACTTCTCTGACATATATTCCGGTTTTTTCGATAAACTCAAAATTTTGGATTTTATAATGATTTTCCCAAAAAAGTCAGTTTTTTGAAAAAATTTAGGCCAAAATCCAAAATTTTCAAAAAACCGAGATAGCCATTTGATAGACAAAGTAAAATTACGTATAACCTTTTTTGTTACGTCTTGATTCCTTTAAAACTGAAGATGTTAGCGGCGTTTGAACTTTTGCCGTTTTTGAGGCGAAAATGGCGAACATGACGTCACTAAAACGTCAATTTCTCAAAAATTTTCCGACGGATTTCGCTCAAATTTTCAGGAAACGTGTCAAATTGATGTAAGAAAAGGTACTGAAAGTTTGGCGGCGCTGCGCGCCGCCGTTTTTGAGATATCGCAAAAATTCGCGAGGGGGGTAAAATTTACCCCCCCAGCCCCGCGCGGGTTAACCCTCGCGGGCCTGGGGGGGCGTTTTTCGCCCCCCCCTGGCGAATATTTGCGATAGCTCCCGAACGCTTAGGGATAGGAAGGCGAAACTTTCAATACCTTTTCTCCCATCAATTTGACATCTTCTGAAGTAAAAAATTTGGACCTAGCCCCCTTGATGACGTCACAAGATCCATTTTTCTAGACCCCTGCACGGCAAACTTCGGCGTCACAGACGCAAACTTCAAATAGCTGCTAAAAATAGAGTTTTAGAGATAAAGACAAATTACGAGCACGGTTGTGTAGCGTTTGACCTAGAGAAAAATAGAAAATAGTTTTGGTGACCTGAGGTCAGAGGTCAGGTCAACGACCCCGAAATGTGGTTTTAGTTTTTCGCAAAAAACTTCGACAAAAATGGTCCTAGAGCTACGGCAGTGGTACCATCGCATTCGCCTTGTCAAGCCGCGTCGAATGATATATATTTTGTTCGGAAAAGGTCAAATTTCATGTTGACCTCATGTGACCTCGAATGACCTCTGGTTGACCTTGACACATGAAAGGTCGTTTATGATGGATTTGTACCTGCTGATCACGAATCTGGCATCTATTTTCCTCTAAGCCTTCATTTAGGGCTTCCGGATTGCAAACTTGTCTTATTTATTATTACTAACTTGAATCAGTGAAATAGCCTCTAGCAGGGATACTCTTCTGTGACCTTGACCTTTGAGCAGCCTTGTATCGTAAGATGAACCACAAATAGGGAACTGATAAGCCTCAAAACATTTCAAAACATCTTGGAAGTTAGCACGCAAGATATTCGAAAAAGTGCCAAGTTTGAGGTCAATTTTGAGCGTGACCTTGACCTTGACCTTTCACTTTGAGCAAATTTTCAGAATCCTCAGATTCTCTTCTTTCGTTTGACAGCCAATTTTGCCGGTTTGATGCAGCCTGCCGTCCTCTAGAAGGCTTACTTTGAGATCACTACACATGTGGCGGTTTTTGCCTTTGACCTTGACCTCTGAACTTGAAAATTGACCTGAGGTCAAAATTTTTAGGTGCATTAGAATCGTCTCGAAAGGACTTTTCGTTTGGTATCGCTTTTGTTTCCGTAGCTCCCTTATTTACGGAGTTAGACAGGGGGCGAAAAACGCCCCCCCCCTGGGCTGCGGTGGTTGGGATTACCCCCGGACCCGGCCGGGTTAACGTACGTACCTCAATAAATTTGGTTAAAGTTTGAAGGCCACAAATAAGAAAGTAATGAATGATTGACATTTGGGGGGAGAATGGTATCAGGGAGGTGGGAAGAGCTCAAATATTGCTTTCTTTCGCATAATTGATTGTGTGGATGACTGTTACTTGGAACATTAATGTCCAATGTCAGCCCATGACCAATGGCCATGAACATTGAACCATGAGGGATATCGAAGCCTGTGAGACCGATCCCAATGCTGTTTGCACTTCGCAGTGATGTATGTTCTCGGCTCACGGACGGTGTTTTAGGGCTCACCTCGAGCAGCGTTCCCTCCACCTCCATGACGGGGCCCATGGGCAGGTAGCGCGCACGCAGCTGGTCAATGCTGGTCAGACTGCGGCCCAGCGCCGTCACCGTGACCAGCGCCTCCTGGCAGCGCACGCTGACCAGCACAGCGCCGGCCAGCCACACCAGCAACGGTGGCATGGTGACCGCTTCCGGCTCCTCGGCACGCGGCGGCCGGCCCAGTCACATGTCCTCCTCAGTGCTCTCCAGACCTCCCGTCCTCGCGGCCCGGCCGGACGGGCGCGTCCTCCACTGACCCAAACACACACGGAGTATCCTCGTCACAAATCACTCGTTGTTGTGTCCTATTCTGATTCGTCTCTTTCCTTTTTATTTTCTTATCCGGCCGTGCGGTGCCACAAAGACTCGATCCTTTTGTTACCTTAGTGTGTCTTAATTATGTTATTCTGTAGTAGCGATCGTGTGTCTCTCTGCTTTCTTCGGCTTGCAAATAGTTCAGTCGACTACTCTCGTTGTCTCTAGAACATGCGTCGCGTTTCCTTCCTGTACCAACCGGCCGTACTCTCCGTATCCGTCCTCCGTTTCCTCTGTGTGCCAGTCGGCCGCGCTCTATGCCAGTCGGCCGTTCTCCGCGTGCCGCACTGCCGTACTCCCTGTGCCAGTCCTCCGTTCCCTGCTCCGCACGTCTCTTCTCTGGGCGTCGCGGCCGTTTCCTCTGTGTGCCAGTCGGCCGCGCTCTATACCAGTCGGCCGTTCTCCGTGTGCCGCACTGCCGTTCTTCCTGTTCCAGTCCTCCGTTCTTTGCGCCGCACGTCTCTTCTCTGGGCGTCGCGGCCGTTTCCTCTGTGTGCCAGTCGGCCGCGCTCTGTTTCGGGCCGAGCAATCGATGCGCCCCCGCCGCCAACGTCGCCGTCGCCGCTTCCGCTCCCACAGAGGCCGTACGACTCAATCAGCTGTCAGTCTTCTCAGCTCCACTCCGACGCAGAGCTGAGACGAGAGCAAAGTGCGGCCCGAGCACGCCTGGACCAGGATCAGCTCCGAGCTTTATCGCCTCACATACACTGCTCGAGCGATCGGCACGTTGCACCCTCTGTGCGCCTCACAAGGTCACCGCCGCTGGCCTCACAGCCCTACCGTTAGACGGCACCCAGTCACGGCTCACGGAGCGTCACGACCTCACGAATCACGGTCACAATCACGGACCGTTCTGTCTCCGCCCGCGGTCCCCGTGCCACTCACTGTCACTGCTCCACCCTGAGTAGGCGGAGCACACCCACGCCTCGCGCCCACTGACCCGGTGGAACTGAGTGCCGCGGCCGGCGGTCGAATGGGACAGGCCGTCTGCGCCTGCTCCGACAGCCGACACCGACGATACCGAGACCGCGCCGGGCGGACGCGGCGGGGGAGGGAGGGGGGGGGGGGGGGGCTCGTGGTCAGCACACGCTGCAGCGTACCGTCAATGTTGTGATAAGGCACAAACACACGGGGCTGGGCTGCTAATGAGTTTAAATACATTTATAGTTATCGATTACATGCATGCACTTATATATCACATATTTATGTATGTTATACAAAGTGGATATATGTGAGTTTTATCACAGTGGATAGACAGTCCGTGCGTCCTATGAGTGAAAACAATTCGGTAGTAAACATTTGTCGTCTATGTGTTAAAACAAAACTCAGAACCGGAGCATTGCATTCAAACGGTACCGGTCGATGAAGCGCTGCAACTAGTTCACCTTAGAAGCTATCAAGCCCTGGCCATGAATCCAGCATAAGATACCTCCTGGTTCCTTCTGCCGACGTAAGGTTATCGAAACATAGGTACTAACCTAACGCAGGCATCAGCCCAGGAAATGGGATATGTGTGGTCAAAGATTAGCTAAGCTGATCCTGAGGCAGAGGATATAAAAGATGGATGAGCTCATGTCACATCATGTGATCAGTGATGCGCGAATATGCACTAGTTATCAGACGTCAGTGTCCTTCACCAGCCAGACACACACGAGCTAATGATCTGAATGCGGTCGCCGCCTTCCCCCCCCCCCCCATCTGACTTTGGTGGCAGATCAGCCATCGCCGCCCCTGTAGACCCTCTCAAAACAAACACCGATGGCGACACAACTATTTGCGGCGTGTCTGGCCAACTTTCGCCGTGGGACGGCCGACCAAAATAAACACGGCTGCACGGCCCGGCGCTGCAGTTGGCCGCTCCGATCATAGATGGCAGCACCAGTACGGCAATGCCGCTGACCTGGCGCCCCCTCGGCGTCTTACAACCACGGATCACATATTAGGTGATCCGTGTTACAACCAAGGCGCTGACGCTGCGCTGTGCAGTGGCGCGGGAACTTCTTCCAGACTGGGGGGGGGGGGGCTGAACCATAGTAGAAATCAACCTAGGGTACCCCCAAAACTAGTTTTCTCACCGGTTTTAGGCCACTTATTTTTCAGACCTTGGCCTTTTCAAAAAAAAAAAAACAGGAAAATATTTTCAAAAAGTGAGGTATTCCGTCTCAGCTGAGTGAAGAAACTACCGTTTTGGCAACCTGGAGTAAAGGTTTTAATCTGCCAAATGAGATGCCGAGCCAGTGAAATAGGTGGATTTTTCACTAACATGCTTTCTTCCTTTGTGACCCACAACCCCTAATTTGGGGAGGGCAAGCTGCTCAACGGTTCCTGGCCTCATGAAACGTTGTGGGGCACCGCCCCCACGGCCGCAGAGTTGTGGGGGGCAAGCTTCCCCCACTGCCCCCTCCCCCGGTTCCCACGCCTATGTATGAATCTATGAAATTATGTTGGTAGATTTCCGATTTCGATTCCTCCAGCTGGGGGGGCTCAAATACATTACGAGCCCCCCCAGCCGAAAAGCTGGGGGGCTCAGCCCCCCCTAGCCCCCCGGTTCCCGCGCCACTGGCGCTGTGGCCGACCGGAATGAACCGGAAGGACATGTCCACGGGCTGAACCGTCCTAGCAATTCTCAGCCGCATTCTCACGCTAATCTGCACCAATTTTTTCACTACACTCACACAGTCACACAACCGGTTAGGGTCGACTCCATTCCAATTCGTTGACTCACTCGCACAGAAAGTGAACTCCAAGACCAACCTTCAGGGGTGACGATTTGAGTGGACAACCAATTCCACCAGGACTCTCCCGTACCAATCAGCCGCTGTGGTGCACCCGTCGACTCCCTCGACCCTCATGTCTCTGGAATGGCCTAATTTTTGTTTGTTTTGTAAGGTTAGGCTCTTTCGGTCCAACGAGACCATTTCATAGCCAAGAGGATTTGCAATTAGGGGGAGACATTGATCTGAGCGGGCAGTGGGCAGTGGGCACCCTAGTGATTCATCGGGGCTGAGACCATTCAGTGGACACTGGACAGGCCACCCAGGCCCCATAACACTTACTGCACCTTGCTACGGGCGTGCTCCATGGGAGCTACCCGCATGGGATAAAGTTGTCACTTGCCCGTCCAGCCCGGAACCAGGGGGATGAGGTGCGGAGGAGCAGATGTGATTGTCCTGGGGCTGGGAGGATGGAAAAGATGGAGCAGTGGCACAAAGCGATTAAAGAATAAATAAAGTAATCAAACAATATTGGGATGCGATCGTTCAATAATGTAGCGGAAAATGCTTTCGTCGAAAATGAGACCATATGTGTATGTAGGCATAGGTAGAACGGAGACAATTGACTAGCCGTAAATATAGGCAATAAAATCGCTCAACAGTATGTAGGGGAGAGAAGTCATATTGCGCCCTGTTCTTAAATGCGCCACACCTTCCTCCTGCCCAAAATACGATTCGAACGAATGCTCGAATGTGTGCACTGCGCATTTACCTCACCACCAATAACTCGCTCTTCTTCCGGTCCACGGGGGCAGGTGAGGTGTCTCAGCTTTCTCGCAGACCATTTTTTGTGATTTTCTCTATTTTCTTACGCGAAACAGTCTATTTCGACCTTTGCTAGTGTCATGGTTTATCTTAGAGATAGTGATTCAACTTATTATCATTGTTAATTGTTCGTTTAATGGCATGGTTTTGAAAGCTTATCACCACTGTGACTTCGCTGCCGCCGCCATATTTCAAGCTCATGAAAAATGTGTTCCATTCGTAATTGCGCCCACCCTATTTGCGCCCTATTCTTCAACCCACAGAAACAGCATCTGGTGTTAAGGGAGACATTTCATTGAACACTTTACTTTGATCATGGGTGCGCTCACCTCACCATTACCTTAGCCTTCACAGCATAAATGGTTAATTAATGGGCTGACACGTTCAAATATAGGCTACTTAGTTAGGTGGCAAACCGTTGTTTTTAATAGGGCGCTTTTACATGAGAGGCATGGGCGCTTTTTGATGGGGGAGTCCGTAAATGTGCCCTTTGCTGGTGTGTCGGAAAACTTTTCTCTTGTTAATTTTTCTGAGTGTGATACAAATTGGGAGTTGTTATTTGATGCCAAAATAACTGAGGTACAATTTGAGATATAATCAAGCATGGCAGCTGGTCAACTTGAGCCGCAATAGGCCGATATCCTAAGGTGGCGCAATATGACTTGTCTCCCCTACAGCCTTCTGATGGTAATGGCAACGCTGCTTGTCATATATTCTCTCGTTTCCGTCTTTTAGCGAGCCGAATGGTCGGGAAGGGTGAGTGTCTGGTGGTTGAAAAAGCCGTAATGAATTTAAATGTCATAAAGTTTATTATAGAACAAATAAGCGAAGAAGAACGTATGAAGAGGGATTTGCCAGTAGCTATGCTCGGTGCAAAGCTCCAGCTAGCTACTTCACTGCAAACATCAGACATCAGCCGCGGTATCGTTTCCACCTCCCTCAAACCGTAGCAGGTGAAAGGAACGCTTTTGAAGGCAAACAATTGGCAGAGGATCGCACATAGCAAACTGGACGAATTCATAACATTCGGCAAATATTCCATGGTCTACTCGGGCAGTATCTCGATACAAGAACAATTGCCGAGTACGGTCTGTAGTCAGCATGGCGGGTCGGGTCGACTCGTGGTCTAGGCGCTGCAGTACTGTGCGTCGGCCGTGTTGGACTGGATCCAGGTGAGCGCCTCCGACACGCGAGCGAACACGTCCGGGCTGTTGGCGATGGCGCACGGCTGGCCAAACGAGACGACGCCGATCAGACGGAAGCTGCCCGAGACCTCGGTGACCAGCGGGCCGCCGCTGTCGCCCATGCAGACGCCCTCGCCGCCGGTCGACTTGCCGCCGGCGCAGATCATGCTGGTGTTGATCGTGGAGCCCCAGCGCTGCCTGCAGTCGGACTGCGACCAGACGGGCAGAGTGATCTGCTGCAGGCTGGTGGCCTGCGGGCTGGTGGCGCCCAGACGGCCGAAGCCGCTGGCGATGGCCGTGGCGCCGGCGTACGTCTGGCCGGCCTCGGCCAGGCACACGGGCGAGATGGTGCTGCTGTAGGTGATCTCGCGGTCCAGCTTGAGCAGCGAGAAGTCCCAGCCGCTGCCCGAGGCGTCCGTGTACTGCGGGTGATCGATGATCTGGACGACCGAGTAGCGCTGCTCGCCGGCGTCGGCCGTGCCGATGTTGTGGTCGCCGAGCAGGACCTGGATGCCGCTGGCCGTCTGGCCGGCCGTGCAGTGGGCCGCCGTCAGCACGTAGCGGTTGTTGATGATGCTGCCACCGCAGAAAGTGCGGGTGCCGCCGGGGCTGACGAGGCCGGCCTGCCACGGGAAGGCTCCGATAGCCGCCTCGGTACCGCCGACCACACGGCCGGTTTGGCGCTGTCCGCAGCGGCAGCCGCCGGTCGAAGGAGCCTGGGTGGTGCCGGGAGCCTGGGTGGTGCCCGGGGCCTGGGTGGTGGTTCCACCCACCTGGGGCACGGTGAGGGTGCACTGGAAGCCGCTGGACGTGCCGAACGAGTCGGTCCGGAGCTCGATGGCGAGCTGCGCCGCGGTGATGGTGGGCACGTCTCTGGAGCCGCAGTAGCGCACGTTGTTGATGGAGAGGAAGTCACGCCAGCAGAAGAAGGACGCCTGCAGACTGAAAGGAGAGCAGCTGATGCTGACGGCCTGGCCCTCGGCACCTTGCACGGTGACAGCCACCCATAGGTTGTTCGGGTACTGGTTGGGGAAGTTGGGCGTGGTGAAGCGGTAGTTTCCGGCGTTGAGGACCTGCACAGCGCGGCTCGGCTGCAGAGTCAGCGGCACCACCTCTTCGTACGGCACCGGATCGACCTCAGCGCCGTAAGGCACCGCCTGCCGCGGCTGGCCGGGCTTGGCCACGGCCACGCCCAGGGCGAGGCAAGAGATGATCAGCAGACGGTTCATGGTGAGTTGATGCCGACCCTCCGAGACGGACCGCCTTATATCCTACACCACCGACGGACACAGGTGTGCCCCGGCCCCCTCGGCGACAGCAGGACTCTGGCGGGCTGTCCGCCATCCCGTGCCGACTGTCCATCGCGCTGTCTGGGGACGGAGCCTCAAGACACCCGTCAGTCCCCTGGACGTGTGCCGGTCCACGATGCAGCGGCGGGTCGTCAAAAACACAAGTGCACCTATCAGCCGCGCGAGGCTATGTCGCTTAGCGGGACAGCTGGAGGTAGGTATATGACGTCAAGAACAGTGTTTGGATTGGCATCTGCCAGAACGCAAGTGGCGATAATGTGCAATGTGCATGACAGCTGGCCAGATCGCGTAGAATTTTATCTCTCCTGACGTTTTTTTCGCGATGGCTCGGGTCTAGGGACGCGTTGCCATTAGCGATAGTGAGCTAAAAGTTGGCATGTCTATGACATTTTATTCAAGCTAGCTTTTGTACCTGATACTAACGTCCGTTTAACTATATTTTCAAATCAGATTAGACCACTGTCATGTGTCATATGATATCATAAGTGACCCTTTGCAAATGCACAGTCCAAAAGTGTTGCAACTTTGCAACGCCCTCATTTCATTTTAACACATTCAATTTAACATCAATTTAACACGTTCCCTGAAATTTGAGTGAAATCCGTCGAAAATTCTTTGAGAAAATGACATTTAATTGACGTCATGTCACGACATTTTCGCCTCAAAAACGGCAAAAATTCAAACGCCGCCAACATCTTCATTTTTGAAGGAATCAAGACGAAACAAAAAGGTTATACGTGATTCTACTTTGTCTATCAAATGTCCATCTCGGTTTTTTGAAAATTTAGGATTATGGCCCATTTTGTCTAAAAAAACTGACTTTTTGGGGAAAATAATTATATAATCCAAAATTTTGGGTGTATCGAAAAACCGGAATATATGTCAGATAAGTGATCTATGTGCACCTAGTACCTACATACCAATTTTTAGAAGAATCTGTTAAAGAATGTGGGAGTTATTCAAAATCTTATGACGTCACGAAACACATTTTTTTTTAATGAATGTTGGAAGTTCTAGACTTCGTACGGAAACAAAGATAGCACCATTCGATTCGCTGTGAAAAACTGCATCAGATAAGCACCTTTTTAAGTCTTAACAACTAACTTCAAAATTTGACCTCACTTGACTTGACCTTGACCTGACTTCGACCTGAAAGTTATCCAGATGTGGTCCATATCACTTATTGAGTGTGCCTATTGAATTCTATGAATAAATTGACTTGACCCATAAAACATATGTCGCACATGCCCTTTTCTATATTTGGTTTTTGGTGACCTGACCTGACCTTGACCTTTGCCTTTGCATGATATTGTATGCAACTGATATTGTCTTGGTAGCCTAAGAACACGTTTTGAGCAATCAGTCTCAGTCCATTCTTCTGCAACTACGGTGCAAGGCCGATACTGTAGAAACTTGCATTTTGCACCCTTGACCTGACCTTGAACTGACCTCTGACCTACTTCAGCAAAAAAGGCTCTTAACATCCGCCTTGTTGAGAGCTTTCGATTGCCATTTTCCCCGTCTTTCTACGACCATCGGTTCGGAAGTTAGACAGTTGGCAGAATCTGCCCCCCCCCCCTAACAGGGCGCGTATGGCTGAATAGCCCAGCGGGGCGCGGGTTAAAGGGAACCTCCTTCCTTCAAAAAAGTTAATTAATTGGCATGAAAGTGATGTCGCTCGGTTCAGAAAGAGCGAAAACGAATATCTACCAAATTTCACCGAAAAACCGAAAAATATTCACCGGTTTTCAAGATATTAGACTTTTACTTTTGTCTACTTTTTGGATCACTCCTGTTTCTAGCGACTTTATTTGGAAGCAATAATTTGGCAGCCTTGAAGTATGGCAGACGTTGCGCGCAAAACAGCGTATACCACCACGTGTTAAAGATGGTTTTAGTCTAAGATTTAAAAATCGTTAGATCTCCGCTGACGTCACAAATTCTATGTAAGGGGGCGTTCCAATGCATTAGCCCCTTAGAATCCAAAAACTGCAAGTTTGAAATTCTATATCTCCGAATTAAGGCCTGGCTACACTATGCGTTTTCTGCGTGCGTTTTTTGCGTGTTTGCGGGTTTTGCGTAATATCGTTCTAGAAAAAGGTTATTATTAATTAAACTTCTTTAATATTCACATAAAAGTTAATAAAACGTTTTATGTTATTTAAAAGCTTATATGAAAAACATATAACAAAAGCGTAATGTCGTTTCTTTCTAAAACGATATTCCGCAAATCACGCAAACTTGCAAAAAACGCACGCAGAAACGCATAGTGTAGCCAGGCCTAAAGCATTTTTCGATGTTGTGAGTGCCCAAACCGGTATTTGCAGGCCACGGCCACCAATTTGGCTATCTCAGCTCAAAACTAATGTTAAGGTGGGATGGTCACTTTAATGCTGGCGGGGCTATTGCAGGCCAGAGACCTATCGGACCCAATCTCATCGAGCTCATGCGGTACTTTTTGCTCGAACTAGTTGGTTTCTTCGTGCTCTGGCCAAGGCTCTTGGTTTGGCCACCTTCATGGGATGAACTCTTGTGCTTGCCGAGGGAGCAGCCTGGAAAAAGTCTTCTTTCTATAGGTTCAGAAGGCCAGTCATGAGAATGTAGAGCATGATGTCGTCTCCTCTGTGCCTTCTGTAAAGAAGGGACGGCAGCTGAAGCCTGCGCAGCCGCTCCTGATAAGGGAGATGTCGGATGTCTGAGACGAGTCGCGTGGTCCACGTTGGACGAATTATTATACACTATTATTAATCCTCCCCGGGCGAGGGGAAGGGGTGGGGAAGGGTAGAACCGGGTATAGGTTGATCGATTGAGACTCTATCCTCTGCACCGGCTACCTTCTAAGGCCTCAGCACTGACAGCAACCGCCTGGTGCTGATAGACTGCGCCGCATGACTTGAGAGTTAAGCGGCACAGTCTAACAGCACCGTTTGACACCGTCCCGGGTCGCCGGGCGGAACGTTTTGTAGACCGGCCGTGAGCAGTGCAGTGCGGCAAGTGACCGAATTCACCCAATATCCCTAGTCTATACGCTTACGTCCCACACCACTCTTTGGCCCACGCCTAACCACTAACCACTCCTAACATCTCCTAACGCCTAACCACTCTCCGGCCCGCGCCAGCCGCTTAGCCGAGCAAGGTTACCGGGCTCTGCACCCCTGCAATGCTGACATCACGGCCGACCTCCAAAACGCTCCATCCGGCGACCCGTGACGGTGTTGTACAGCGTGGATAGGCTAAGCCGCTAAACTCTCAGCCATGCGGAGCAGTCTACCGGTGCCAGGCGGCTGTCTAGAGCTGAGACCTCAGACTTCGGTAACCGGTTGATAAAGAGTCCCTACTCCCTATCGATCAATCTGTACCGGACTGTATGTTGATTGTCGTGAAGTGACAGCGTCTGCCGGGGACGTCGGACCGATCTTCGCCGGTCAGCGGAGATCGTGGCGATGGCGCCCGCCCACATCGAGACGAGGTACAGTCCACAACAGAAGTAATGAGTGGTTTCAGTCATGGATATGTTCTGCTTCTGAAGCCTAGGAACGATTAGCCAGACTGCAATGAGACTTTAAATGTAGCTTACATGTATCTTCACCCTTGCAGCTACAACTTTATCTATTGACGTCTTCTTTTCAATCAGTCCGCATTTAAAAATCGTCGGTCAAAGTCATCCGTTGAGATTGGTAAAACCACACATTACTTTAGCGGTGGGCTGTACATTAAAACGACATTTTGGCAGTTACTATAGTCGGCAATGCAATTGGTTTCCAAAAGAGCATCGAACCAGTTAAAAAGAAGATAAAAAATAAATACCTAAGGCTGTCGAATAGACGTGGACTGCCACCATTCAATACTGTAGCAGAAAATCGCAATTCGCAAGAATGTGTGCTTTCATCGAAAATGAGATCATATATAAGTAGAATAAAGAGCAGACACTTGAGCAGCCGAAAATATAGATATAAGCATTTTAATCGCTCAACAGCATTTAAAACTGTTGAGGTTATTGGCAACGCTGCTTGTCATATATCTCGTTTCTCGTTTCCGCCTTTTAGCAAGGAGTCTAAGTCGGAAGGATGAGGGTGGTTGAAAAAGCCGTAAAATTTAAAAGTCAAAGTTTATTGAACAACAAATAAGCGAAGTAGAGCGTATGAAGAGGGGGTTTGCCAGTAACTATGCTCAGTACAAAGCACCAGCTAACTACTTCACTGCAGACATTATCAGACATCGGCGGTGACGTTTTAACCTCCTTCAAACCGCCAGCAGGGGAAAGGAACACTCTTGAATGCAAATAATTGGCAGAGGATCGCACATAACAACTGGAACGAATTCATGACAGTCGGCAAATATTCGATGGTCCATAATCGGGCAGTATGTCGATACACGGACAATAGCCGAGCACGGTCTGTAGTCAGCATGACTGGTCGGGTCGACTCGTGGTCTAGGCGCTGCAGTACTGTGCGTCGGCCGTGTTGGACTGGATCCACGTGAGCGCCTCCGACACGCGAGCGAACACGTCCGGGCTGTTGGCAATGGCGCACGGCTGGCCGAACGAGACGACGCCGATCAGACGGAAGCTGCCCGAGACCTCGGTGACCAGCGGGCCGCCGCTGTCGCCCATGCAGACGCCCTCGCCGCCGGTCGACTTGCCGCCGGCGCAGATCATGCTGGTGTTGATGGTGGTGCCCCAGCGCTGTCTGCAGTCGGACTGCGACCAGACGGGCAGAGTGATCTGCTGCAGGCTGGTGGCCTGCGGGCTGGTGGCGCCCAGACGGCCGAAGCCACTGGCGATGGCCGTGGCGCCGGCGTACGTCTGGCCGGCCTCGGCCAGGCACACGGGCGAGATGGTGCTGCTGTAGGTGATCTCGCGGTCCAGCTTGAGCAGCGAGAAGTCCCAGCCGCTACCCGAGGCGTCCGTGTACTGCGGGTGGTCGATGATCTGGACGACCGAGTAGCGCTGCTCGCCGGCGTCGGCCGTGCCGATGTTGTGGTCGCCGAGCAGGACCTGGATGCCGCTGGCCGTCTGGCCGGCCGTGCAGTGGGCCGCCGTCAGCACGTAGCGGTTGTTGATGATGCTGCCACCGCAGAAGGTGCGGGTGCCGCCGGGGCTGACGAGGCCGGCCTGCCACGGGAAGGCGCCGATGGCCGCCTCGGTGCCGCCGACCACGCGGACGGTCTGGCGCTGTCCGCAGCGGCAGCCGCCGGTCGAGGGAGCCTGGGTGGTGCCCGGAGCCTGGGTGGTGCCCGGGGCCTGGGTGGTGGTTCCACCCACCTGGGGCACGGTGAGGGTGCACTGGAAGCCGCTGGACGTGCCGAACGAGTCGGTCCGGAGCTCGATGGCGAGCTGCGCCGCGGTGATGGTGGGCACGTCTCTGGAGCCGCAGTAGCGCACGTTGTTGATAGAGAGGAAGTCACGCCAGCAGAAGAAGGACGCCTGCAGACTGAAGGGAGAGCAGCTGATGCTGACGGCCTGGCCCTCGGCACCTTGCACGGTGACAGCCACCCATAGGTTGTTCGGGTACTGGTTAGGGAAGTTGGGCGTGGTGAAGCGGTAGTTCCCGGCGTTGAGGACCTGTACAGCGCGGCTCGGCTGCAGAGTCAGCGGCACCACCTCTTCGTACGGCACCGGATCGACCTCAGCGCCGTAAGGCACCGCCTGCCGCGGCTGGCCGGGCTTGGCCACGGCCACGCCCAGGGCGAGGCAAGAGATGATCAGCAGACGGTTCATGGTGAGTTGATGCCGACCCTCCGAGCAAGAGCCTTATATCCTACACCGCCGACGGGCACAGGTGTGCCCCGGGCCCCTCGGCGACAGCAGGACTCTGGCGGGCTGTCCGCCGTCCCATGCCGACTGTCCATAGCCCTGTCCGGAGACGGAGCCTCAAAGACACCCGTCAGTTCCCTGGACGCGTGCCGGTCCACGATGCAGCGGCGGGTCGTCAAAAACACAAGTGTCTCTGTCAGCGTGCGAGGCTATGTCGCTTGAGCGAGACAGCTGGAGGTATATATATGACGTCAAGAACAGCGTTTGGAGTGACATGTGCCAGGACGCAAGTGGCGATAATGTGCAATGTGCATGACAGTTGGCCAGATCGCGTAGAGTTTTATCTCTCCTGACGTTTTTTTTTTCGCGATGGCTCGGGTCTAGGGACGCGTTGCCATTAGCGATAGTGAGCTAAAAGCTGGCATGCCTATTACATTTTATTCAAGCTAGCTTTTGTACCTGATACCAACGTCCAATTACCTACCTATATTTTTTAATCAGATCAGACCGCTGTCATATGATATCACAAGTGACCCTTTGCAAATGCACAGTCCAAAAATGTTGCAACTTTGCAACGCCCCCAGTTCAATTTAACACATTCAATTTGACATCAATTTAGCACGTTCTCTGAAAATTTGAGCGAAATCCGTCGATGTTTTCTTGAGATAGGGACGTTTACATAAGTGACGTCATGTCACGACATTTTCGCCTAAAAAAAACGGCAAAAATTCAAACGCCGCTAACATCTTCATTTTTAAAGGAATCAAGACGTAACAAAAAGGTAATACGTGAATCTACCTTGTCTATCAAATGACTATTTCGGTTTTTTGAAATTTTTGATTTTGGTTTTTTTTTCTAAAAAAAAAATGACTTTTGGGGTAAAATAATTATATAATCCCAAATTTTTGGTGTATCGAAAAAACCGGATTGCATGTCAGATAGTGGTCTATGTGCACCTACATACCAATTTTTAGAAGAATCGGTTCAAAAATGTGGGAGTTATTCAAAATTTTATGACGTCACAACACACAATTTTCTTTGAAAAATGAATGTTTGGAAGTTCTATACCTCGTACGGAAACAAAAATAGCACCATTCGATTCGCCGTGAAAAACATGCATCAGATAGACACCTTTTCAGGTCTTAAAAACCAACTTCAAAATTTGACCTCACTTGACCTGACCTTGACTTGACCTCGACCTGAAATTTATCCAGATGTGGCCCATATCACATATTGAGTGTGCCTATTGAATTATATGAATAAAATGACCCATAAAACATGTGTCGAACATGCCCTTTTCTATGTTTCGTTTTTGGTGACCTGACCTGACCTTGAACTTGACCTTTGCATGATATTGTATACAACGAATATTGTCTTGGTAGCCTATGAACACGTTTTGAGCAATCACTCTCAGTCCATTCTTCGGCAACTACGGTGCAAGGCCGATACTGTATAAACTTGCATTTTGTACCCTTGACCTGACCTTGACCTCTGAACTACTTAAGCAAAAAAATGGGCTCTTAAGATCCACCTTGTTGAGAGCTTTCGATTGCCGTTTTCCCCGTCTTTCTACGACCATCGGTTCGGAAGTTAGACAATCTGCCCCCCAGCAGGGCGCGTATCCCCCCCCCCCCAGCAGGGCGCGGGTTAATGCTGGCCGGGGGCTATTGGAGGCCAGAGGCCCATCCGACCCAATCTCATCGAGCTCATGTGGTACTTTTAGCTCGAACTCGGTTGGTTTATTCGTGCTCTGGTCAAGGCTCTTGGTTTGGCCACCTTATCATGGGATGACATCTTGTGCTTGCCGAGGGAGCAGCCTGGAAAAAGTCTTCTTTCTATAGGTTCAGAAGGCCAGTCATGAGAATGTAGAGCATGATGACGTCTCCTCTGTGCCTTCTATAAAGCAGGGACGTCAGCTGAAGCCTGCGCAGCCCCTCCTGATACCGGAGATGTCGGATGTCTGAGACGAGTCGCGTGGTCCAAGTTGGACAAATAATTATTACGGAGCGAGCGAAGCGAGCGGTGTCTTTCCTTAGATTAACGGAAATTTCTGAGTATGAGCGGCCGGCCGTGCGGACGCTTTTGCGAGGCTTATATCTCAGCAACCACTTGACCGATTTACATGCAGTAAATTTTGTAGGGTAGCTTCATTCCTTCTACCAAGTATTGGACTATTCCCGATGCATGTGGGTGACCCCTTATGCACGTGCCACGTGCAAAACGAAGAGGTGTCAGTTTTGTAATTGTTGCAATATCTCGGTAACTACTTGGCCGATTGCGCTGAAAGTTAGCATGTAGGTAGGCACCCACTAGGCACTGCATATCCATGTGCCAGAGTTGGGGTGCTGCTGCACGTGCGCACGTGCAGGGGTCGTTTCCAGATCTCGAGAACGGCTCGACCGATTGCGCTCGAATTTGGTACACAGTTAGGGACCGGTTAGTAGGGTGCCGTGCACAAGTCAGTTGGGACCCATTTTGCACGTGCGCACGTGCAGGGTGCCGCTTCCAGATCTCGAGAACGGCTGGGCCGATTGTGCCCAAATTTGGCACATCGCTAGAGACCGGTTAGTAGGGTGCCGTGCACAAGTCAGTTGGAGGTACAGTCACCAGCAGTTGCTACCCATCACCCCCGGACGGCGGGGGAGCAAGCTACCACCGCCCCTGCGAGACTAGCGCCGCCATGCGCCAAGAATTGGAAACACCACGTGACTGAGGCCACGTGAGGGCAGGGTCACGTGATGGAGGGGCGGAGCATAGTAGCTTTTGCGCCCGACACTAACTGAAATGCGGCGCTGTGATTGGGCGCCTTAGCATGAATGAAACCCCGGCGCCAGAATCAGCCGTTCGCCTTATATGGAAAGTGAGCCTTTGCGTTTCACTGTTCTGTATTGGTTTGAGAGCCACGGCACCATACGAATTGTGAGCCCCTTTGAACGGGTCACCGCCCGAGGCACTGAGGCGACGGCTGTGCCGGGCAAAGTCTAGCCTGATGGGAGAGGTGGGCCAGGGAAAGTGCGATCGAGCAGCCACTGGGACGTGGATTGGTATTATCCAACCGCGACAAACGATGTCAGCAACCTCTTCTCGTGTCATAGACAGTGTCTATGACACGAAAAGCTAGACAGACAACGTGGGTAGTGCCCAATCAAAAGCTACTAAACGATCCAATTAAGAAGTTGGCGAGTTAGCCAGACCAAATAAAAAGTTTTTAATTCGATTTTGGTTGACAAATGACATACAAGCCCGCTGTGATGGACCAAAAAAGGAGCTGAACAGTTCATACAACTTCTAAAAAGCTCAACGATTTAGAAATTCAAAAGTTAGTTGAATGTTAAACTTCAGCCTGCATAGTTAAACTCTGGTCCGGCGCTGGCAGGAAGCTTATATTGCCACTTGCAATTCCACTACGTTGTAATATAACCAATAGTTCTGTGAGAGCAGCAACTGAAAGCCCCGGCGCCGAGAGGGGGGAGGGCGGCGCGAAACGGCCCCCTCTCTCCTTTTCAGTCGATATCTCCTAAAGTATAGCAAATGTCGCCACCAAACTTTCAAGACCCCTCCGGGCATCATTTTTACACCTTGTGACCAAATTTTTCCAGAGCTCTTATAAAGGTTAGTCACAAATGACGTCAGAGGGATGTCATGTTCTGTCATTTTCGACCCAATAAAAGGTCTAGCGGGAAGAGCTGTCACGCTTACAGTTTTGAAGATAACGAAAAATATTCAAGATCAAAAAGATGTAAAATAAACAGCGCTACCAAACTGCTAACTCTTATTAATCGGTGAAAAATGCGACCTTTGACCTGACTTGTGACGTCATGGGTTGCACCTAGGTCAACGAAACCTGGTAACAAGGTAGTTCCCTGGTGGGGCTATCGAACGCTCTTTGAATGTTCAAAATCGGTCGGTAACTTTCCGAGATCTCAGGTGGAAGGCGAAACGGCTGCACCACCCGATCAGGTGGTAGGGTCTGCCAATAACCAAAGGGGGCGCGGATTATTTATTCACTCATACCAGGGTTGTGCTTGACTCATGAGTCGAGTGAGAAATTTGACTCAACTCTGACTCAAATGAGTCAGATTTGAGTCGAGTCGGATAAAATGCTGAACTGTTGAGTTGAGTCAGAGTTGAGTCGGACAAAAATATTAAGGTGTTGAGTTGAGTCAGAGTTGAGTCAGTAAAATAACTTTTGACATTGAGTTGAGTCAAAAACATTTAGGAACATGAGTCAGCTGACTCAACTTTCTAGAAACAATATATAGTATAAGTTTTTCATTCTCCCCCCGCTTAACAACTTAGGCCTGGCCCTGCTGCCGGATTTTTTTCATCCCCCCCCTCCCCCGCTCAACAACTTTTTTATCTGAGTCAATTTTGAGTCAACACACTTCACTCAACAAAAAATTTGAGTCAAGTTTGAGTCAACTCATATTTTCATTGAGCCGCTTGAGTCATGAGTCGAGTCAAGGGAAAAAATCAGCTCCTTGTTTGAGTCAGAGTTGAGTCAGGGC